AGTGACGCGGCGGAAACTGCACAGCGACGCGGCGGCGGCTGCAAAGCGACGTCGCGGCAACATAGATGTGGAAATTAAATCCCTGGTTAGTCTCCTCCGGCCACCTTATTCTTCCTTCTTCTTTTCTGTTGCGTCTTCCTTCGCGTTGAACTGCGGCTCTGTTGTGTCAATCGATCGTAAAGTTGCCAGAGCTATTCTAGGTGTGACCTTTCTCATTTTGCTTTCTTCTATTCTTTTCTTTCCGAGTTCCTTTCTTTTTTTGTTCCGAATTCCGTTGAACTGCAGCTCTGTTCTAATTAACTTTTAGTTAGTTAATAAATTAAAATTTATTAATTTTTGGAATGCGTCTTCCTTCTTGTCAGTATGCATTTTTTGCTATCTTTTTGTCAATCTTGGAATGGAGTTTTAATTTATCTATATTAACTTTTTTGAAGATCGAACTTGCTGTTACATTATAACCAAAAGTCATAATTTATTAACTATTGGAATGATCTTCTTAGAATTAAATTAAGTATGTCAATATGTGTCAATTTGTTTGCCATTGTTTTCAAAGATGGGATTCTGGACATTACCTCTTTGACAAAGAATGCTATACATTCACGGCATTATTTTCAACAATAGTGTAACATTATTGATATTTGAGAATGCTTCTAATGGTAATGTTACACACTGTGAATTTTACTTGACATTGTGATGTTTATCTTGAAATTGTGTCATATTGTTTTTATCTTAACATTATTGATTTTAGCATCTTTTCTTTATTTCACAATGTTTACAATACCGTCATATTGTTTTAACAGGGGCGTCGACACCGGCTGACGTGCTAGTTGTGTCGGCGAATTCTGCTACTTGCTGTCACATTTTTTTAATATAATAAAATACTCCTATAAAGAATGACATTGTTTACGACAATGTAACATTGTTCATTTTTTACCATGCTTATAATGATAATGTTAGACATTCTAGCATTTTATCTTGTCATTGTGTCACTTTTTTGACATTGTAGCATCTTCTTTTTACAGCAGAGGTCCTTGAAGGACTGTTCGAGAAGGCCGCAAGAGTAATAGAAATGGTGGTTGTTGAAGATCCAGTTGGGGGGGGGGGGGGGGGGGTCGTTTGAGCACCATCACCGACAGCCGCCGCAGCACAAACAGAGACGATTATTGACATTATTTTTAGCAATGTAATTTTTATAGTGATTGACATTCACGAAATTGTCATTTTGTTTTATTTTTTTGAGAGAAGAAGAGTACTATGTTCCCATTATAAATGTTTGGTTCCACTTTCATTGTTATGACATTGCAAATGTCGTTTACATTGTTAAGTTTTTTATAGTGATGAATTTGAATTGGCTTTGTTTTGACAACGTTGCACCTGCTGAAAATAAAAATTACTACGTATATTTTAGAGCTTTGGCATTAGTTTTAACAATGTAATTTTCACAATGATTGACATTCTTATGACATTGTTATTGACATTTTTATGACATTGTCATTGACATTCTTATAATATTGTCGTTGACATTCTTATGACATTGTTATTGACATTTTTATGACATTGTCATTGACATTCTTATAATATTGTCATTGACATTCTTATGACATTGTTATTGACATTTTTATGACATTGTCATTGACATTCTTATAATATTGTCATTGCCATTCTTATGACATTGTTATTGACATTTTTATGACATTGTCATTGACATTCTTATAATATTGTCATTGACATTCTTATGACATTGTTATTGACATTTTTATGACATTGTCACTCCATAGCATGTCCTGAGACATTTCTAGAATAGTACCGGCCAGCAATGGCAGCGGCAATAGCACAATAAATACTACTTCGTACTTTAGTATGAAACATTATTTTTGTCAAATAAGACTGCTACAGTGCTACTAGTGCGGAAATCCTTTCTTATTTCTATTGATGAGGAAATCCTTTCTTATTTCTACGGTGCTACTAGCACTAAGACGAGCTCATAAAAGCAGGCATACGACATCGAAGAAATTCGCAAACAAAGAGGAAGAGATGGAGAAAGGTGGAGGAGGAGAAGGGCTAGGGGAGGAGGATGGGAGGAGGAGACTACTCGCCGTCCTGATGTCGGCAATTGCTCTGGTGATGACTTTCACCGCCTATAACCCGGCGGAAACCAGCGACGAATCGTAGATAATTTTACCTGCGGGTTGCGACCAACCAGAATAATTGCTCCTTTGAATTTGTTTGTTAAATCTCGTCGGTATCAGACTTGCAAAAGCGGATGGGTGGTGTCTTATGTTGAGAGCAGAATTTGTTGGGAAACGGAAGGGTATTTTTGTCTCAGAGTTCAAAATTGGTCCTATTTAGGAGTTTAAAAACTTTGAGTCCTATTTAAATTTGCCGCTCCACTTTTAATCCTATTAAGGTCTATTTCCCTAAGGTATCATACCTTTGTCCACATGGACCAATAAAATGTAGCAGTTGAATTATTTAAATCTAAATTAAAAATGATAAAGTAATGTGGCCCAATCAAATGAATGATAGGTACGGTATCCAATTTTTTAGAAAGGTACCGGAGTTGTCACCTAATAATTTTAGCTAGCATTATAAGATATTCCACAAAATATTTATTTAGTTACTTGGTCCCAAAAGGTCACAATAATATAGTGGGTGCATATTTTATACTTATAAATTTAATCCATACATCGAAATTCATTAAAAGGGATTTTTATTTTATTTTATTTATGTTGTATAATTATCACCTGTTATAAAAACGTCATTTTCGTCTATTCAAGTCAAAGTTTTACCTGGTTTATTTAAAATGTCACTTTCGTAATATTTTAACTGACTAATAAAAATTATTTATTTAATTTAAAATTTTCATAGTGTCACATTGGAGGACAACAACGATTCCGTAGCATGTGGGAGAGATACTGTTGTGCAGTATTTGCTATAGTATATGTTGTGGATGCTGCTCATCTCGACAACTCAGCGTTTCAAAAAGTGAGCTCCATTATCTTGTGAGCAATATCCACATTGGTTAACAATATCCAACCTTAATCCCAAAAGAGTTTGACGTCGGTTAACAAAGAAAGAAGATGACAAATCAATTGCATAAAAACAAATAAAAAGACACGAGCGTGAGAGTTTATTTTACCAAGGGAAATGTGGTCTAAAGCAATTATGCAAAGAACAAAAACCTCTTCTATATTTCACTAAAACCAGAAATTTTCTATTCATTAATTAATTTGTTTTTCTTACGGAGTACATGATTTTATCATGATAGTATACTGCTATTTTCTTTGAGGTCTGCAATACAACTCAAATCACTTACAGGTAGCATCACATATTGCTAGACTTCCAATTCCTAAAGCCAAAAAAAACAATGACTAGCTTAAGCCACTTAAATCCTCTTATGAAATATAGTGTGTTCCCCTCCATAGCAAGATTGGTTCAATGACATCTCATGTTAAACAAATTAAATCATCAATGACAATACTCTAAAAAGTCATATTCTTATCAACAAATATTATGACATCTTAATGTCATACAAATACTGTGACATCATGGACTATAATTTGACTCCAATCTCATTCACAATGGAGGGAAGAAGCTGATAAACAATAATTTATATTAGACATTACTTAATATTTTGAGTTTATTATTGGACCGTTGACCAATTTAAGTGTAGAGGAAGTGTATAGTTAAAACAAAAACACTGATTAAAGATGAAATTAATATATATATATATATATATATATATATATATATATATATATATATATATATATATATATGCATATAATAATAACAGATATGCTCGATTAATAAAAACATCTCTACTAATCACTGATAATTAGAAGTGGAAATGATGTTTTTATCATCACTGCGAATCATAAACAAATAAACTTTGATATAAAACACATTACGGCTCATACTTATAAATTCAGCCATATTTCTGCTTGACGGATAAATCTTAAATTCACAGATAAACAGATCATAGCCAAAACATCAGAAGAAATCAATCGCACCAATCAAAAATTTAAATTAGAAGTTCTAGTAAAGACACTTAGGAGTAATTCAATAATAAAACTAAATTACTACATGTTACTAGAAGAAGAACAGACTAATGACTTAATGAGCTGACGATCGAATGACTCGGATTTGAGATGCTTGGACCAAGGAAGCGATTGAAATCAGGCCATGTGATGAACTTCTCACCGGCATCGAAACGATGTGTTGAGCTTCTCATCGGCGATGAAACGGTGCGTTGAGCGGAGCCAAACAGGGCGGAGGACAAACGGCGGAGGGCGGAGACGCGAAAGTCGGAGGCGCGGCCAGAGTTGGGCATGAGTAGAACAATCGCACTTCAACTTCAACGATGCCAGGGGTTGGGTTTTGATTTAGAAATTAGGTTATTTTTGAAATAAAAAAACGTAATTGAAAACAGAAAAGATTAAAATTGAAAAGAAGAAATAGTTGGGACATAAATGATATGTAAGAGAAAAAAGTGGATTGTACGGGTAATTTCCACAAATAATTTGAGGTAGGAAATAAATAGCAAGCACATATAGAGCCCGTTTGATAGCCCAGTTTTTCGCCTTATCAGGCTTATCAACCAATTTTTTCACCAAACACGTAAATTATGATTTCGCGCAGTGAATTGCGTAAAAATAAGAAAAAGTAAGGTCGAAGTTGATTTTCTGGCTGTATTGGTTGAAGTTACTGTAGAGAATCATTTTAACTATTTTATTAATAAAAAATATGTTAAGTGTGAATTTTTAATAATAAAACATAATCAACTAATTCAGCCATTTCAGTTAGAACTTTATAAGTTTCAGCACAATCAATCGATTCAGCCGATTTTGATATTGTAAAACGGGCTCATAAAATTCTTCTTTCAACCGTTTAGAAGGGTTTTCAGCTTTTTATTTAAAAAAACAAAACTGAAATAAATACTTTCAAAGACCAACTTTTGCATAAATTAATTGAAAATGTCATATAAATGAAAGATCCTCACTTCTTTCAAAAATAACAAAAAAAAATACGAGTAACAAAAAAAAAAAACAGATGTGGCGGCAAAATTAAACTCATCTTTAGTCGGAGACTCTTTCTCTTCCGGTAAAGACTACCATGAGAGCACGAGCCCTTCATCTCCGATCACTTATCAGCTCTACAACGATTAGCCTTAGACGTCCTTCAAGTCTTTCTGCTTTGCAGCCTCCGTTTACCTCTCTTTCGCACTTCTCTTCTCTATGCAATCTACAGGATCGATACCCCCAGAAGTCATTATCTAGATTAGATATCAAAGACTCGCTCGTCAGCCGTTTGTGCAGAGAGAACAAATTCAAAGAAGCCATTGATATCCTTTGCCAGCAAAAACTTTTAAAGGATGCCATTGGACTACTCGAAAACGAAATCCATTACCCTTTTGCTGCCATATACTCTACACTTTTCCAACTCTGCATTGAGCAACGTGCGATTGATGAAGGGAGGAAAGTGCACGCCCACTTGAAAAGGTCGAACTTCACGCCTGGGATCTTCATATCCAATCGAATTATTGAGCTTTATTGCAAATGCGAGAGACTTTCATGTGCTCGTCAAGTGTTTGATGAAATGTGTGAGAGGGATTTGTGTTCTTGGAATATCTTGATATCTGGTTATGCAAAGTCCGGGTTAATTGAGGATGCCAGGAAGCTGTTCGATCAAATGCCTGACAGAGATAACTTTTCTTGGACGGCCATGATTTCGGGTTATGTCAGACACGCCAGACCCGAAAATGCACTGGAGCTGTATGGGGCGATGCAGAGAGCTGAGGGTTGTAATTGTAATAAGTTCACAGTTTCTAGCGCTCTGGCAGCTTCAGCTTCTATCCAGTCTTTAAAGTTGGGGAAGGAGATCCATTGCCATATCATGCGAATGGGGTTGGATGCAGATGCTGCTGTTTGGAGTGCATTGTCTGACATGTATGGGAAATGTGGGAGTGTGGATGAAGCAAGACATATTTTTGATAAGACATTGGATAAAGATGTAGTTTCATGGACATCAATGATAGATAGGTACTTCAAGGAAGGGAGATGGGATGAAGGATTTTCTTTATTCTCGAATCTGTTGGGTTCAGGAGTTAGGCCCAATGAGTTTACTTTTGCTGGACTTTTGAATGCATGTTCATGTCAAACATCTGAATATATGGGTAAACAAATCCATGGATACATGTTACGAAATGGTTACGACATTCTTGCTTTTGCAACGAGTGCCCTTGTTCATATGTATGCAAAGTGTGGGAACGTCGCAAGTGCTTATAATGTTTTTAAGGAGCTTCCGGGACCCGATTTAGTTTCTTGGACTTCAGTCATTAATGGTTTTGCCCAGAACGGTCAGCCACTTGAGGCACTTGCCTATTTTGAACGAATGCTGGAATCTGGTGTTTGTCCTGATCATGTTACCTTCATTGGGGTTCTGTGCGCTTGCACACATGCAGGTTTTGTTTTTCTATCTTAAAAAACAACATATCATATTTATAAATGACACATGCTGGGATGACAACCCAAGTCCCGCATCAGAAGATGGAGAACGTGTTGCCTTGAATTTAATTGTGCTCCTAAATCAGGGCGAAGCTAAAACTCCCAAAATTCAAAGATGGATTCTGCTAGAAAAAACCCAACTCGTATGAATTTATATAGCAAAAATATTAAGGTGAGTTGCTTCCATGCAGGTTTAGTTGATCAGGGGCTGGAATATTTCCACTCAATAAAGGAAAAACACAGATTAACTCATACTCAAGACCATTACGCTTGTGTTGTTGATCTATTAAGCCGTTCAGGAAGATTTAAAGAGGTTAAAGATATTATCGATCAAATGCCAATGAAACCCGATAAGTTCTTATGGTCTTCTTTACTAGGCGGGTGTAGAATTCACAGAAACCTTGAAGTTGCAAGAAAAGCAGCAGAAGCACTGTTTGAATTAGAACCCAACAATGCAGCCACTTATGTCACCCTTGCAAACATGTATGCTGAGTCCGGTAAATGGGATGAGGTGGCGGAGATTAGAAAAATCATGGATGATAAAGGAGTGGTGAAGAAACCAGGTAAGAGCTGGGTTCATGACCACAGGAAAGTCCATGTATTTTTGGCTGGTGATGACTCACACCCTAGATCTAAAGAGATATACGAATTCTTGGGTGAGCTTTCAAAGAAAATGAAAAAGGAAGGATATATCCCTGACACTGATATGGTGCTGCATGATGTTGAAGAAGAGCAAAAGGAGGAGAATTTGTTTTATCACAGTGAGAAGTTGGCGGTTGCTTTTGGAGTTATTTCTACTCCGCCAGGGACGGCAGTTAAGGTCTTCAAGAATCTGAGGATTTGTGTGGACTGCCATACCGCTATGAAATATATCTCTAGTATTGTGCAAAGAAGAATTGTCATAAGGGATTCTAGCCGGTTCCACTCTTTTAAGGGTGGGAACTGTTCCTGCAGTGACTACTGGTGATTCAATGCTGGACATGATTATCACATTCATAAATTCCTTGATTGTTATATGTGATCTGGACCAAAATATGCTCATATGCCTACATCCCTATTTACATTATGGCATTATGCAGGGTGTAGGCCTGTAAAGGAGTCGAAGATCCGCTGTTTAATAAATTTCTTGCAGACTTGTCTGGAGGAAGAATAGTCTGTTGATCACCTTTTTTCGGTTTTCACCTTGTAGAGGTTTAGAGCACGCCTTGTAGATAAAAGTGGTTTATTCTGCTTATTAATAAACAAGTAAGTAGAATGGTCAAAATGAGTAGACTTATTTATTTGGCTTAAATGAATTTTGGGAAAATTTTACAAATAGGAGTATAGGACCAAATCGTACTAATTTTCCAAAACTAAGACCGAAGATTAGAGTAAGACTCAACTACACCTGCATTGACCACAATACCCTTACTTTTAGAAAATAACAGACATTAAATAGACAATAAATACACAATAAGTAGACAATAAACAAACAATGAAGAAAATTGCTCTCCATAGGATCTTAACCGAACCCATCTCCCGACTCTCTCCCATTTGTCCCTCGCAAATCCAGATCCATGTAGCTCCGTCTTCAGGTCTCCGCCTCCGAAGCTAGGTCGCCGCCTCTCCTCCATCTTCCGGTCACCGCCTATGAGTCGCTGCCTCCACCTCCAGGTCATCGTCTGATGCACGTCTTCTTCTTCTCAATTTCTGTCTGGCATATTGCGATGGAGACGAAGAGTCATGGGTTAAAAGAAGTCTACGACTTCAGATCAGCGTTGAGGCTAGTTTTTTTGGAGAAGGCGGTGGTCTGATGGGACTGGGGAAGGATGTAGCTCTGATGTGCGGCGATTGCAGGGGGATACAGTGCCGGTGTGGGGGCTATGGTTGTTCAAGGGCTGGGGTTGGGAATGGGGCTGCCGAGGCGGTGGCGCTCATCGCCAGGGAAGGGCAATGGTGTGCAATGGTTGGGGGTTGAATATGGTGGTGGGATGTGAAGTTGGGAGAGATAGGTTGTGGCAGAGGAGAATTGCAGAGGGCGAGTGCAGGGGATAACGGGAAGGGTAAAAATGGAAGACAAGAATAAAGTTTCCTAAAACGTGCTATAAAACGGTGCTAAATAGATCCTGCGCATGGGGAAAACATAGCTTAATCCTACTTTTGTAAAGTTCCTTTGATTTGATCCTATAGAGAGCAATTTTATCATGAATTTTACCCAAACACTCTCAGAAAAATGAGCAGATTCAAATTTATTCGTCAAATAACCTTACCAATGGCCTGGGCGAATTCTTTGTTTTGTAATTATGTTCCTACGTTTATTTTAAAGTTTTAGCGCATTTGCTTCATATTTATGGAGTGAGTCTCTAATCTCTATTAGTAAAGGAAAGGTGAACTATGACACTGTTTGTTAATTAACAGTTAGTTGTTAACTATTAGCTAGTTATGTCAGCGGTCTTGATAATCGATTTGTATTAGTTGTTTTGACTTTATATTAGGTGTTCAAAATGGTTTGTTAAAATTGGCTGTTGGGGAAAATCTATTAATAAATTGGATAAAAAAAAGTAATAATCGTAAAGATTAAAATAATTTGAGTACCCACAAGTACAACATTTAATTTTAGTTCCCTAAAATTATAATTTTGTTTTAAATTGCAATTTTACTCTTTTAAGCCTCTGTCAACTCTTCAACCGTCTTTGATTGAGGATAAAATCAACTAGTCTAATATAATTACAATCATGTTTTGCACGTCGTTTCATTTAATTCCTAAAATTGTAGAAACCTTCAATAGAAATAACTTGGATGTGGAATGAAACTACATTAATATTACTTTTTAAAATCGGGTGGACAAAAACATTACTTAATAACTATTAGTGACTATAACTGTGTTCAAAATTTACATCGTAATAATTACATGTAGGTTACCACGATGTAATCTTTGAACACAATTCTAGTCATTAATAATTACTAAATAATACGGAGTATTGTTTTTATCTATGACTTTTTATTAGTAATATTTGAGGAAAAATCCCTAAAAAGTCATTAATACGGAGTATTACTCTTTGAAATGTGGTGGACAAAAGTATTACTTAGTAACTATTAATGACTAGAATTGTGTTCAAAGTTTACATTGTGGTAACCTACGTGTAATTACTATGATGTAAATTTGAACACAATTTGTAATCACTTGTAGTCAATAATAGTTACTAAGTAATGTTTTTAGAAATTGCTCTAAGAGGCCGTTTGGCAACCCTCATTTTCGACTCATCAGACTTATCAGACAACTTTTTTACCAAACACGTAAATTTTGCTTTCGCGCGCTGAATTGTGTAATAAGCTGAAAAAGTAAGGTTGAAGTTACTTTTCTGGCTGTATTGGCTGAAGTTACTGTAGATGATCATTTTAGCTATTTTTACATATAATTTTTTCTTTATTTTATTAATAAAATATATTTTAAAAATATTTTTTCTTGTATCAGCAGAATCAACCAATGCAGCCACTTCAGTCAGAATTTCATAAATTTCAACAGAATTAGCCAGAACAGCCGATTTTCGTGCTGCCAAACGGGCTCTAAATAGGAGCAAAAACGTTTTGAAATTCCAAAATAACGGTATCATGTTTTTTATTCCCTAAATAGGAGTAATCTACCATATTTGAAAAAAATGTCATGTTTTAAAGCCTAGTAATGCGAAACTTGGCAGAAATTTACTCCTATTCAAGGAATAAAAAAATGATAATCCTATTTTGGAATTTCAAAACCTTTTTACTCCTATTTAGGGAATTCTCCCTAATGTTTTTGTTCATAACCTTTTCATTAGTAATATTTTTTGAAATAATTACATATTTATGACTAAAATAAAAATGATTTACAAAAATGTGACTAGTGACTAAAGTAATAATGTAATCATAATAACTTATGTTCAATTTTTAAACTTAAGTTATCATAAATAACTTATGATTTTTAAGTAATCATAATACCTATTAGTCATATTTTTGTGAATAAGTTTTATTTTAGTGATATTTTCCATAACCTTTTTATTAGTAATATTTAATATTGTTTTATTTAAATGATACGGAGTATTAAATAAATAATGATAACAACATCACTAATTATAATAACAATAATCATATAAAAATAAAAAAATAAAACAATACGCCATCTTTTTATAATAGTTATACATTGGAAACAATAAAGTTTTAATAATAACAATAACAATAATAATAATAATAATGTATTGAAAATAAGAAAAGTACTAAACAAAGTACGTATATATTAAAGATATTAATTTATTTATTATCCAGTCCCATATTATCTGTATAGACCCCTAATGTGATATTCTCATTCATTCCTATCTCTTCATACGAGTAGCTCACATATATTTAATTAGTCCCTATTAATTTTATCAGTATAAACTAAAGAAAATGACCTTCAATAAAACTAAAAAGTCTATATATACTCAGTACATAATAACAATACATTTTTTACTGTTCAATGAACATTATTTTTACTGTTCAATGAACAGTAATCCTGCCCACACACACTAGTTCACTCAATTGTTCGCTCATATCCCGTTCACCGTTTCTTCTCACCCTATTCGTCCATTACCGTTTCCTTCTCCACCCATCACCGTTTCTTCTCTCGCACCATTCAATTTCGCCGGTCGTCACGATAATCGCGGTTCAACTATCTGTACAAAGTGATAGATATCGATCTATCTGTACCAATTGATAGATCGATCCCATGTCGTTCTGCCAGGTGCTGAGTTGCCTCCTTCATACTTCAATGATATCGTGTTACATTTTGATTTATAACTTCAATTTCTATTCAATTGAATTACTTAATTTCAGATTCAATTAAACTTCTCCTATCTTTAGGTTTATTTTTACTTAGTAGATTTATGTATCCATAGGTTAGAAGTGAATTTGCTGGAGATTTTTCAATCCTAAAAATAGTTACTGGTAAAGTGTTTTTGCATTTTTTACTCCTGAGTTGTAGCTGTTTTTGTGAACAATGTTTTTCTATGACATTGATTTTGGAATTGGTCATGGCATTTTGTGACAATATGTTTCAGTTCTTTGGTCATACTTATGATACTTTTGTTCTCGAGTTGGGATGTGTTTGGAAGTTGTGGTGTGGTGCTTGAATTCTCTTGCTTACACAAATGGGTCAAGAAGGACCTACACAAGAATGAGTGAAACATGGTCGTTTTGGGCGCGCTTTTCAATTAAATGAGCCATATGGCCGGCCGGTACCATCGTATATGAACTGATGAGAGTGAGGTCAATGCAAATTTATACAAGGGGATATATATTTTTCGCAGATTATAAGGCACACCCGTTATTTTTGCAATATATCAACTTTAAGCCTTTGATTCTTTCTCGCTCAATCAACTTGTTAACTCCCCGTTGCTTTTCTTTATTCTTCCGCCGCCATCCACTTTCTGTTTTCTTGATAGTTCATTTGACCTTTTGTGTTTTTTATTTTTGATTTTATTTTTTCGTTACTTTTACCGTTTGTTTGTTTAATTTCTTTTCTTTTGTTTTTTTCCTTTCTTCTTTTCGTTTCTCTTATTTGTTGTTTCCTTCTTTCTTTTTCTTTATATATTAATACCGAGCACATTAAAAATGAGCTTTATTTTAAACTCAAATAAGTAAAACGTCTAAAAAGAATGAACAAACATAAATGAGCTTTTGAATTTTTAAAAACTCATTTTGTAAGTTATGTATGTTCATTTAGTACCCCTGTTACGCTCATTTTAAAAGGTTATATCAATGCATATTTCAAAAGTCTCATATTACATTGGGTTCACATAGAAGTTGATTATAGACATGAGACCATAAATCATGATACTCAACCGCACGACTATAATACTCAATAATGGAGTTTGATGCTCACTGAAAATGTCTTGATGATCAACGAACAAAACTTACAATTTTCATATCAATGCTTATCTTGTAAGTTACATATGCTCATTTATACAAGTCTGATGCTCAATAAAAATTCATTAATGCCCATTTAACAGAAATATCGATTTCCATTGATCTCAATGAAAATGTCGTGATGTTAAACTAACAAACCTTACGATTTTCATATCAATGCGTATTTTGTAAGTTACATATGATCATCTGGTATTTATCTTATGCTCATTTTCTAAATGTCATATCAATGCATTTTTTAAAGGTACTGTTTTACATTAGATTCACATATTGAAATTCATAGGAGTTGATTATAAATATAATTTAATAAGTTTTTATAAAAGAAAAAATAACAAAAAGAAAGTGAATTAGAAGTTATGAAACACATATCACGATTCTGAATATTAAGTCTGATGCTCATTAAAAGTTTATTAATACTCATTCACCAGAAATCGTGATTTTCATCCCAATAGCGGAGATTTGATGTTCAATTAAAATGTCGTTATGTTCAACTAACAAATCTTACGATTTTCATATAAATGTGCACTTTGTAAGTTATGTATGCTCATTTTTAAAATGTCATATTAATGCATATTTCAAAAGTATCATATTACATTAAAATCGCATATTGAGATCAATAGGAGTGAATTATAGATATAATTTAATAAGTTTTTATAAAAGCAAAATAAGAAAAAGAAATAGAAGAAGCAGAGATGGTGATATTCATTCTTAACCTCTTAATATGAAGCCGGGATGTTTCATTTAAATTACAAAAATGTCAATTAAAAAAAATGATCAGTACTCCATCCGTCCCGCTAAGATTGTCCCATTTTACCTTTTCGGAAAGTCCCACTAAGATTGTCCCATACCAAATTTGGTAAAGATTGTGTCGCTCTAAACCATTTTTACATTATTCTTACTTTATTAATTTAATATCAATCACACAAACTCACTTTTCTTAATAATCGTGTCACCTTCTCTCGTCCCAATCTTAGTGGGACGGAGGTAGTATTAATTAGTAGAGAAATGTGGCCATAATTGCTTACTACTTCGTTCTTAAATAGTTGCAACATTAGAAGTTTTACACTATTGACGTGCTGTACTTTGACTATATTTTATTTATGAATACATTAAAATTTTATTTTTGAAACACTATAATTAAATTCTTCTCACTTTAAAATTTTAAAATGTGTTTTTTTAAAGCTTTACAATTAGAGAATTAAATATATCAATAGTCAAAGTTGAGCATTAACAAACATCAAAATTGAAGCGTTGCAACTAATAAAGAACGAAGGAAGTATATGACATCATTTTTGGGCTTGTTTGAAAATCAATGGTTAACTGTTAGCTGGTTGTCCGTCCCGCAAAATAGTTCTTTGTTTCTTTTTTGGGTCATCCCAATAAATTGTTTTCAAATCCCTGTGGGAACTATTTTATGGGACGGAGGGAGTAGTTGATTATATTATCTATTTTGATCAACTAGTTATATTAGCTTGTTGTAATTATATGTTTGGTAACTTATTATGGGACGTGTGTATTTTATGGCCCATAAATAAGGCAAGTTTAAGTGTTGGCCCACTTAAATGTGTATGCATTTTGGGGTACTGTCATTTCTCTAATTAGTATGGTGTCTTCCTTACCTAGGCGGAGTGTACAGACCGGTATACCGGTAACCCGTGTATGATATAGGCACTGGAATTTTCTCCGCATCTCCGTCTCCCTGGATAGATACAGTACTACATATAGTGATATAGATATACAGGTGCCTACGGTGGTGCTAGAAGAAAATGGCGATGGGAAGGAGGGAAGAAGCTGTGGAGATAACGAAGCCCAGAACGGACAAGAGGGAGTACAAAAGAGTTGTGCTCCCGAACTCTCTGGAAGTGCTTCTCATCAGCGATCCCGAAACAGACAAGGTCTTAACACATTCTTTTATTGTTTTTGGATTTATGTTGAATTGGTTTCTATGAATTTTGGCATACTTACACATCTGGTTAAACCTAATTTTTTAACCTGCATTGGATGCAGTGTGCTGCTTGTATGGATGTTGGGGTTGGTGCATTTAGCGATCCTAAGGGTCTTGAAGGCCTTGCCCATTTTCTTGGTTTGTAATCTTCTCATTTGTCTATCACGGATATGTTTGTTAGGAGCATATCTTATTTTTAAAGTTTGCATCTCTTGCTCAAAACTACTTATAAGCTTAAAAAATCACATAAAAGCACAAATGATTAAATTTAGAGTTCATTTCATTTAAACGTTTGAAAAGTACTTATTTATTTGCATTTACAACCCTATTAATTTACAAAAAATATTGACTTCGTCATCCAATCACTTAAATTATGTCATAGCTTGGTCACTATTTCTATTAAAAATGCATAAATAAAAACTATTTGAACTATTGTCGCTTTGAAGTTATTAAAGTTTACAAAAAGATAACCTTTTCCCTTTTTGTTTGTCAAAGAAGTACTTTGAGTTAAGTTTACCTGAAAATGCTAGTTGAGTACAAAATGCTTCTTATTAAATTGCTAGATCAGAACAACTCCAACCAAGCTTCTATAGTTACCAATGTATGGAGCTAGCTTTTCGTCTATTTGCCAATCAAATTCCTAAGTGCATGTTTGGGTCGTGGCAAATGCTAGGGAAAAGAACAAAATATATGAGGAAAGTTTTTTTTCTTGTTTCGTTTTATCCTCTGAAAATGCAAAGGAAAGTAATGGTCTCGTCTCACATACATTTAGATTTCTTAGTCTTTATGTTATGTTTTCCATCATTTGCAATGGAGCCAAAGATTCATTATTTTTTGGCTTGAGATTATGATGGAATAAAGCAAAATGGCTCACTAAACTGTCTGCGCTTCTTTGTTATGAAGCAGCAGTCGGTCCATGCAATTTTGGACGGGATTTTCACTATGGGTCATCCGGAAACAGTCTCTCTGTGCTTTAGTACAGGGGTAAGACTACGTACATCCGACCCCCGTTACCCCACCGTAGGTGGGAGCCTTTGCGGCACTGGGGTAAATGAAAATGAAAAATGAAATGAGTCTTTATGTTATGTATAAGTAAATACATAAAATGGGTCTGAACAAGTTTGTAAAGCACACCCCGTATTTGTTGAGTTTGAGCCAATTTTCCATTTTCCTCTATAAATTTCTCTCTTCAATTTTCCCTGGTTTCCTCCGTTATTTTTTTCCGCTAGTAGTGAAAGGAAGATGAAGATTCAAAATTCAAGGAAAGAAAAGGAGAGAAGTTAAAATCAGGGAAATATAAAGGAATGAAAATATGCTCAGAAGATGAATAAATTAGAGGCAGAGAAAACAAATCAGTAAAATCAGCGAGGAGGAATACCCTGGGGTGTAATGGTCGATGTTTTCTACCAGACGTAACATTCTTTGTCATGTTCACTACTGCAGAGCATATGCTGTTTTATGCAAGTGAGAAGTACCCCTTGGAAGATAGTTACTCAAAGTTTATCTCGGAAGTACTTTTCTTTCTAGACTCGCTGTTGCTTGTTGTTTGTGACAATCTTATTTCAGCATTAAAACTTTTATGTTATTTCTGTAGCTGTTATTCAATTATAAAAAGTTTCCTTATGTATAGAGTTCTGTTATTGTTTAGCATGGAGGCAGTACAAATGCCTTTACCTCTTCTGAGCAAACAAACTACTACTTCGATGTCAACATTGACAGCTTTGAAGAGGCATTGGACAGGTATAAGTGTATAACTCTTTTGTTTCCCATGAACTATTTTTGTGCTATTTATCCTTTAGCATCCCAAGTTTAATATGCAACTAGAGCCTAGTTCGATTGTGGGTTTGTGGTGTGTGGCACCCTATGGCTTGGGACAACTCGTTTGTGATCAGTTTGACCTGTTTTTGTTTTGTCCACCCGTTGAGTTGTTTGTGAGTCTGTGACCGAGGGCTCGAGGGGTGTGTTAAGTTCCCACATTGGATTGGGTTTGAGTCTAATATATAAAAATGTGATGCAATTATGCAAACCACACAAATGGAGGACACTCTTGGGAATTTGGGATGAGCAAGACCTAACTTAACACCTTCCAATTCTACCCCATCACCCATTTCTTAAAGTTCTTTTAATTTTTTCACAAGTTCATTTTCAGGTTTGCACAATTCTTCATCAAGCCACTGATGTCATCTGATGCGACCACGAGAGAAATTAAAGCTGTTGATTCTGGTTAGTGTTGTTGCATTGCACACCTAGGTGATTTGCTTTTCAATTACAATATTAACCACTGATTGACATACCTCAGAACACCAAAAGAATCTACTCTCTGATGCTTGGAGAATGAACCAGGTATTTAATCTTTCTTCCCACTTATTGCTCAACATTTGAAGTTTACAATCAACGTATGTATAGCTTCCCCACCTAAATTTGGTGCTTCATTCAACTAATATTCTCTGCAGCTTCACAAACATCTTAGTGCAGAAGATCATCCATACCAGAAGTTCAGCACAGGTTCATTATGCTATTTGTGAATTGTGATACTTTCAAACACATTTCTCCTTCTTATGCACAAGCTTGTGTTGTAAATGTGTAAAGAAGTCCGTTAAGCAATCTGCACAGTTTATGTTTTAAATATATATATATGTCTGTAGTAATCTGCATCTTTTGTAATTGAATATATTTGCGTCTTTTATAGTTTTATAATTAAATATAGTTGTCTTCCACATGCCTTTCACTTCATTCGTGTTTCATATTTATTTCAGTGATAAAACCTCACTTCGGAAATGCTATTAGCTTTGAATTCAGTAGTTAGATTTGTAGTTGAAACTCCTAGCATTTTACTAAGATCTTATGAGTTGCAACATTGCATCTTATATGCCGTTGATTATGTCGAGAGAGAAAGCAAGATGGGTTAGGGTTAAGCTATCACCTTTTCAGTTCTATATATTTATTCTACCTCAGTAGAGGCTTATCTATAAAACCATAATTGCAGTTAGAAATACAATTTTAGTCAAGATAGTCAAAAGCACGCGCTTGAACGCACCAGGAGAGGCTCTGAATAGGTGAAGCACCTTGAGAGTCTCCTGGTGCAGAGTGCAGACATATGTCTAGGCACAGATTAAGTGCAAGAAGCGCTAGAAGGCAGCGGCGCATGGCTGTGGCATTTGTGTCAGGCAAGGCTTCTCAGCTTATTTTTCTTTTTTTGGAAATAAGTTTTTGGCGTACTTTCCAGAAACCCATATTCACAATAAGATATCAGTAGATGAGTTTATCCAAATAATAGTGCAGAAAGTAAAAACCCCTTCTCATGTGTGATATGACAATCATTCAGCGTATTAAGGAGTATACAGACTTTGGGTATTCCAAGCAACGAAGTCATTTTTTATTGTATGTATTATTCACTTATTCAATTCTATACCCTCCAATTTGAATAATGGAAATAATGGAGAAGATACATCAGAAAATGGAAATAAGTAAGATTAATTCAATTGTCGTAGAAGATGGGAATAATAACTATTGAAGATAAGATGCGAGAATCTCAATTGCAGTGGTTTGGCCATGTGTGTAGAAGACTGAGTGATACACTTCTTAGACGATTTGAGATGTGGGGAGAAGAGGCAGGGAGGAGTGGAAAGGACGACTCAAATATACATGGATTAAAATGGTCAGGAATGATGTGGTACTTCTTGGGTTGGATGGTAGTATGACTTTGGAGAGTGAAGTAGAGGTAGAGTATACGTGTGGAAGATTAATCTTTTTTAATTTTTTTAACTTTGATTTCATGTGTCGATTCATGTTAGCCGACCCCAAACTCTTTTTAGCTGATTTGTTATTCAATTCATTTTGGAATTGTTTTTATGATGGTCGTAGTTAATTTTAGAATTATGTTTATGATAATTCTTAATTATTTCCATTATTGAAAAAATAGATATTGTGCAATAATGGAAATATTGTTGGAGAAAATGAATTAGACAATGGATAAGTAACAGGCTCATCTTTTAACGATGAACAATCCTTGATTATTGTGGCTTGGGAATTTCGCTAGAATTCATAATAAATTAAAATTTATAGATTTTTATTTCTTATGTACTTAGTTTAATAGTATGGTGAATATATCATGTTTGATCATTCTAGAGTAGTATTCAAAATATTCTTTAAACTGTGCGCTTGACTCGAAGTAAGGCAAGCATTTATTTTTTCACCTTGTTCTTAATAAATTTTATACTAAGATAGGGACATGGCCCATGGGTAGAATTTTCAGTGAGAACTATATTTCTTAATTGTATAATTGTATTAATGTTTATGTGCTTTGGTAGTGATTTGAGCCATTTGCAGAAATTGAAATTTTGCTGTAATAAACTGAATCCATGTTTAAAGCAGTCTTATTATAAGTATTGCAATGTTTTTAATTAATTATTGTGGGAAATTTATTGAGAAGTATGTCTCAAGTGTTCAACATGATCCTTGATAAATAATAATATTTTAATTACACTCCAAAACAATGAATTAAAATAATATTGAGGATGAAACTAAATTATAATTATTAAATTATTATATATCTAAAATCTAAATTATTTCTTCCTTGCGATTAAGTAATGTTTAATGATTTATTAATAATAACAATTAATGGCCATGACTAAATGGCATGTACTATGTCAGTTAAAATCACAAATATGATTTGTTAGAGTCAATCTATCAATAATTGTATATCGAAAAATCATGAGTCATGTCTAGTAGCTATTAATTTCAAAACTTCATCTTAATTTCAAATAGAAATGAAAAGCTACTAAGAAGAGACACATCTAATACGTGGGACACTTATGGCTATACGTATGTGCATGACTATTAGGAAGAGGTAGTATTTCTTCGGGTATTTGACAATAAATAGCCTACTTTATCAATGAAGATAATGAAAAAATTGATCAATCAATGTTATGTCTTCTCATTTTTTCTACTTTTTTCTATAACCTGCAGTAATAGTTATGAAGTATTTAAGCTACTTTTATACGGAGTATATAAATTACTTGCTACTCGAGTAATTGAGTTGAACAATGAAGATAATGAAAAAATTGATCAATCAATGTTCTGTCTTCTCATTTTTTCTACTTTATTTCTATAACCCGCAGTAATAGTTATAAAGTGTTTAAGCTACTTTTATACGGAGTATATAAATTACTTGTCAAGTGTTATTATATCGATAACTAAAATACACTGTACACTTTTTTTATATCACAAAAGTCCTATACTTCTATCTAGTAACCAGTTCTTTTTATCTCAAAAGTTCTACTACCTCCGCCCCACTAGGAGGTGGTGCGGTTATTAAGAAAAATGGTTTTGTATGGTTGATATTGAATTGATAAAGTAAGAATAAACTTTTACCTGACTAGAAGTGATATATGGTTCCTAGCCATTATCTACACCCTTACATAGGGGCTTGTTTGGATCTACTTCTAGAAATCGCTTGTGCTCCTTCAAGTAGCAAAAGCAAATGTAATGTTGGAGTGTTTGGGTGAAAATGCAGAAGTACTTTTTGGTACTCCAAATTGCTCATAGAAGCAGTTTTTTAGAAGCTGGGGAGACCAACTTTTGAAAAAGTGATTCTGATTCAACTTCTGCTTTTACAAAAGAAGCGAAAGCAGAATCAGTTCCAAACACCCCCATAATACTAATAAATATCCCTGATCCTAACAATTATCAACAGGGACGGAACCAGGACTTAGTCATAGGGGGGCCAAGAAGGAACACAAACAATAAATAAAATCTTTAAATAGGACTAAAACAAAAATAAAGTTCATAAATAACATTATCATTATTTTATTCTCAAAATATGACTCATTCACTCCTATTTTGAGTTTTGACAAACTTTAATCAAATTATTTTTAATAGGACTAAATAATATCTACCTGACAAAACTATTTTGTCCTATTTTTAATCATATATTCATATATACGGAGTATGTAATTATTTCATGAGAAATGATCAGACAGGATTCGTCGACCGGCCGCCTATGTTTGAGGTGCTTCAAGGTGGTTTATTTTGATGAAATTTTATGAGAATGCTCTTTATGATGTGTAGATTATTAAAAACCAGAATATAGATAAAACAACAACATTTTTCCATAATTTATTTAATTGACTTCACGATTGAATTTTAAGCTAAAATTTGGTGAAAATAATCTGCTCTTCATGAAAAATATGCTCAGAAAATTTCATCAAAAAATTCTACCCGGAAGCATATCAAATTGAGGCTTCTATCAGATAATTTTGACCCAAACTTTTCTGATTATTTCATATGTAGTACTAATACTATTGAAAAATATAATAGTTGGGGGGGGGGGGCAAAGCCCCCCTACCCCTCTGTGTACCTCCGTCCCTGATTATCAAATGCATTGTATTAGGTTATGCAGCTGTTTTAAATTCCTTCCATCTTAACACATTTTGTCTTATTTTTTTGATACAATAAGTCAATAACAATCTTATGTTATTGCATCACACACAGGAAGTTGGGATACATTGGAGGTCAGGCCGAAAGCAAAAGGACTAGATACAAGACATGAGCTTCTTAAATTTTATGCAGATAATTATTCAGCTAACCTAATGCACTTAGTCATTTATTCAAAGGGTATGAACAATTATTTTCCACATACAGTATTTGCTATCTTGCATTACCAACTATTTTGAATTCTGTAGTTTGTATATTGCAGATAGCCTTGATAATGCTGAGAGGTTAGTACGGAGCAAATTTGAAGAAATCCCAAATATTGATCGAAGTTGTATACATTTTACTGGTCAGCCTTGCACACCGGAATATCTGCAGGTATGAAGTGCATGTAGCTTTGATGTCTTTTTCATTACAATAAAATGTACTATCCTCCTTTCTTTAATAGTTGCAACAGTTTGACTTTCACGTTTGCCAACTCACACCTTTGACCGTAATTATATACAACAACAACATCCAAGCCTTAATCCCAAAAGAATTTGGGGTCGGCTAACATGAATCGATCTATGATATCGATGCCAAACAGAGAAGACGGACAAGAAAGGGAAGAAAAAAGTAAGATAAAACGAATAAAATAAAGATAAAACGAATTTGACCCTAATTATATGTAATTACGTATCAGTAAACATGATAAAAAGTTAATATTTTGGAAGTTCACATTAATAGAATTTTAATAACATTTTATACATAATAATTTGATTATATTTATTAGTAGAAAATCGTGGTCAAAGCAAGATGTATAAATAGTGTGAGAAACACAATGTTGCAACTCTTAAAAAACGGAGGAAGTATATAACAGAAGAACAATTGATTGTGCCCCTAAACTTATGTACAACCTCTGCGATCTGAAATCTGAAGCTATAGTAAGTAATGACTTGTGCTTAGAATGATGCTAGCTCCTTTGACTGTTTACATTGCACTATTGAGGTCTTCTCGAAAACGCAGATTGCCTGATGGAACTTCATAAGCTTGTTGCATATATTATATATGATAATTAACCGTGTTATTTGTTCAGTTATTCTGACACAAGGGTCAGTGGTAACCTCAATCAGTCATCCCTGGATGTTATATGATTAAGCTATTATTTTACCCTGTCTTTTGTAGGATTCAGAATTTCAATGTATGCAGTCTTTCAAAATAATTTTGAATAAGATACTTAATGATTAAAGTATCATATTTGTCTGTCTTGTAATTTTTTTTCTTTCATTTAGATTCTTGTCAAAACTGTTCCAATCAAGCAAGGCCATAAATTAAGAATTGTATGGCCTATAACGCCAGGAATACATCATTATAAGGAAGGGCCTAGTAGATATTTAGGTCACTTGATTGGCCATGAAGGAGAAGGATCTTTGTTTTACACATTGAAGAAGTTGGGTGGGTTTCTCCACTTCGAAAAGTATTATCTATCATTACCTTCTTTAGAAAATCAACCTTTGAACTCTCGATATCTTTGGAATCCTAAATTTACAAAATGTTTTGGTTATTAACATGCTTGCAGGTTGGGCTACTAGTTTATCTGCCGGGGAATCAGACTCATCACTAGAGTTCTCATTCTTCATAGTAGTTATCGATTTGACAGATGCTGGTCATGGTAGGCTACTTGCTTTCTTTCTTTTTCAGTCCGTTTGGATCCCAAAAAATAATAGGGTCTAGGGAAAGATTACAAGAACAAAAACATAGAGGACAAATAAATGGAATGAAAATGTTGTGGAAAATTGAAGATGAGCTAAAATCCATCAACTTTATTTTAGATATCTGCTGATTCATATGTTTCCTATGTTTGTCTACTATATATATTATGTGTAAAACAAATTAAGAAATTACCATATTTTATTTTCATTTGCATATTACTAGGTAAAACTAAACATGAGAAAATACCTTTCCTAAACATATTCCCCCTTCATAGCATTTTCCAGGATCCAACATTTCCCTATCTGTTTCTCAAAACATTTTTCCAGCTCTTCATTTTTACCATTTTTGGATTTTCTTCTTCTTCTTGCGGGGTTGTTGATTTTCAGGTAGAGAAGGGGTGGGTGGTTTTCACATTATTCTGCCTCCCCTGTGCTAATTTACAATGAGGAGCATCATGTTAAATTTGGAGTGTTGATATTTGTATCCGTGTAAATATTGTAGACCATTTTGAGGGCATTGTGGGTTTGCTATTCAAGTATATCCTCCTTCTGCAACAATCTGGTCCTTGCAAATGGATATTTGACGAGGTAAAAATAATTTTGCTATTTATTTGTGCATGCCTGAGGATAGCAGTGTTATTGGCATGAAGCTATGCTCCATATATACTCATAAACTAATATTTATGTAAGTTTATTTTGTAAGCTACACCATATTATGTAAACCGAGAGTTGAAAGGGTGATAAGGAATCTTACACATTTTTTTTTCATTGCATACTATCGTAGTAATTGTAATCTTATTCATCTTTTTCTTGTATATTTTTCATTATGTGAAGATTTCAGCTATTGGTGAAACTACTTTTCACTATCAAGACAAGATTCGGCCCATTGATTATGTTGTCAATGTTGCGATGCATATGAAGGTAATTGATCCCGTGCCAATATTGCCTTTAGCACTACATAGTCAATATATGTATTAATTTTGGATATCAGTTTATATTCATATAATTAATTGTAGAGTACTTCCTATTGACGCTGTAGATTATTTATTTTCACTTAAATAGCTAATACAATTATTATCAATTTAAAACTTGCTACTGAACAGCAAGAAAAGGTTGACCGTTGGGACTACTGAAGCATAAATGTGACACCTATGTAACAGTTTTTTGGAGATCTGTTACGGGTGATAACTGAAACAGTTCATTGTAACTTGTATTGGGAACCTAATGCACTTTGCTCCTTATAAATGATTCAATGAATAATCCTTCATATCTTTGTTTATTCCTACTTCAAAATGCAGTAACCTATGTTATAAAACTCATGGTTGAAGTCAAGTGTTCTTCAATCTTCTGCAATTCTCTACGTAGGGCTGTAAATAAAAGAAAGTTGTTTCCGCTTTATCTTGTTCTTAGCTTGCTGTGTAAGCTACGTCATGGTTTGACAAATCTATTCTTTAATGATTTTGTGATGTTGCTTTTCAGCGCTATCCCCCAGAAGATTGGCTGGTAGGATCATCTTTGCCATCAAACTTTGACCCGAGCATTGTGCAGTCATTCTTAAATGAACTCACTCCTCTGAATGTGAGGTGAGTAGGGGCTTCTCAACGAAATAATTTAAATAATTCCCTTAATTGTTGATATTACTTCCATAGGAGGTCGCGACAACTGGCAGAAGGGCATATAACGTAATCCTTTCTCTGCTTTTTGTATGATTCTATAGTGTTCAATAATCTTAGATAATTAATTGACTTTATAATTCATGCCACCGGCAAAGCATATTTGGGACATGGAATTAATGTGATGATGATGATAATGAACTCCCTGAAGCTTGATACATAAAAATCAATATGTTGATCCTCGACTCACTTCAACACAGTGTTTGCAGTGAAATTGAAAGTGTATTTTTATAAGGTACAATAGTATATTTATATTGAGTTGGTGCAGCTGCAAAATGCTCACTAGTCTGCTTTAAGTCGTTGTTTCAAGCCTCTCAACCTCTAATTATATTATGTGTCCCTCTTAAAGCTTCATGTTGACTTAAATCTCGAATGTCCCATCCTCCATCAGATGTACCCCCCATGATTTGTTTTTTCTCTGTGGAGAGATGTTACATGGAGGATTATCAAATCCTTGCAAGTAAAATAGTAGAACCCACTACTTCTCCAGGGACGGAGAAATGTGTTTCTGGTCGATGACTCTTTTGTATGTGGCATGGTCCCAGTCTTTAACTCTGTAGTTTTCTTTCTTGATTCTAAATTCAACAGAATTTTCTGGGAGTCAACTAAGTTTGAGGGGCATACTGATAAGACTGAACCTTGGTATGGAACTGCTTATTCTATGGAGAAAATTGATGGTTCACTGATTCAGGTTTCTTTCCAATTGTTTCTATTGATAATTTTAATCAGCCATGTAGGTAAATTTTAAAATGTCTATGTGGTATAGTTATTTTGGACCAAAATAAATCAATAATCCTCTATTCAGAGTTCAGGCACCAACGTTTTTTGTTTCATCTTTTTAAGAAATGGATGGAACAAGCACCTGTTGCAGATCTTCATCTTCCTGCCCCCAATGTCTTCATTCCAACTGATCTTTCTCTGAAGTATGCCTTAGAAAAGGTGCCAACTCTACCCTTTTTTGCTTTATTCAGTTTATGGAGAAATATAGAAGAGAGAAACATAAGTTGTATTAATTAATTCTGGACAAAAGTACCCATGATTCCATGAATATAACTGTGAAAAGATTGAAAGAGGGTAGAATGGAAATATAGAATGAAGCACAACCTTCTCTCCCATTTTTTCACCATCATGGAATCATAAAGCAAAATGCCTCATAATCTGTCTGAGCTTCTTTATTATGAAGCACTAGTCAGTCCATGCAATTTTGATGCGATTTTCATCACGGGTCATCTGGAAACAGTTTCTCCTTCTTTAGTACAGGGTTAAGGCTGTGTACATCCGACCCCCCTTACCCCACCATAGGTTGGAGCCTTTGCGGCATTGGGGGTAATGTTGTTGTTGCTGTATGGAGAGAAAGACTCAGGGCCTGTGACCGCCTGTCATAAATTTATACTCTCTCCCCTATTTTTCTTCACCAAATTAGAGCGGTGCTCCATCCTCGTCTATTTCTCTCCCTCAGATTTCTTTCTTCTGCATTCCTTGCCTACCTAACAAATGCTTAGTGTATTTTCTTGTAAGATGTCCTAATGGATTGAACATTACGGCAGACAAAACTTCCAACTCTGTTGAGAAAGTCACCATATTCAAGGGTGTGGTACAAGCCGGATACAACCTTTTCTTCTCCAAAGGCATATGTTATGATAGACTTCAATTGCCCTTACAGTGGAACCTCTCCCGAGTCAAAACTTCTCACAAATGTTTTCACCCGCTTATTGGTTGACTACTTGAATGAATATGGTACGAGTTCCAGTGTTAATAGCATTTTTTATTCACAATGTGTTCAGTTTGTCAGTTGGTAAAGCAATTGTTTAAAATGTTTTTTTTTTCTATCTTTCAGCATATCATGCGCAGGTTGCGGGTCTACATTACATTATTAACAACACAGATAGTGGTTTCCAGGTATTTATCTACTTTTCCTTCCGTTGCATGGGTCTAAATTTTCAAATTTATCTTGCCATATGGTTAAAAGTATCTCATGGTATCGTATAACGCTCAATATCTCTCTTTTCTCTTAGCATGCCCTATGACTCCCTCTGTCCCAAAATAGTCCTTTTGTATTTTTTTGTCCCGAAATTTCATTTGCTGAATAACAGAAGTTACAAAAGGCCGCACCATTATGTTCCATTCAACAGGTGTGTTGATCCAACAGAATTTTATAATTAGTTTGGTGAATTCCTGATAACAGTACCCAAACTGTTAACTGTATAGCCACCCCTAAAATTATGTCAAATCTAATTAGTGGTAAGACGTAGCAGCCCAGGATCTGAAAGGTGGTGCTGATACCTGTGAATAGCAGCTGGCAATGTTGCTTAAGGTCGCCACCGGTTCGCCAATTGCCATTTCCAAAAACGACAAAGAACTGTGAAGGATGAAGCTTTGGTAACCTGGCTTGTGTTGCCAAATGCTCATTAAAAAAATAATGAGTACTTCCCTAGTCAACTAAGACTGTTTTGAGAATGTCATCAATAATTGCTTCATTCTGCGTGGCCGTTGTTGACCCAAATTTAGTGATACATATTGATGGAGTATATGGGTCTGAGCCCCCGGACCCACATACTCGGAAGAACATAAAGCACAAGACAACAGAGTGGCGCCCTCGTCGGCCAGGACGCCCCCGTCGGCCGAAAAGGGGCCAACTCGGATTATGGTCCTGAGTCCAAGGAACCCGGGTGCCCTCGTCGGCCGTGCCCTCGTCGGCCGTGCCCTCGTCGGCCACGCCCTCGCCGGCCACGAAGACCTCACAGAATCGGATTTTATACTTATTCATTTATACAGCCCATTAGTGGCTTTGTATTCGGCCCAGTAGCGGTCCAGTTGTAAATGGGCCTCCCAAGCCCAAGGCTTGGGAGCCCAACCCTAATTTTCTCTATAAATACTCCCCTTAGGAGTAGTTATAGGGGTTACAAATTCATTCTATTGAAACATATTATTGCACTTCTCTCTCTAGCTCTCACTTCTCTCTAGATATACTCTATCATTTGGTGCTCTCGTTGAGAGCTAGAACAATCAAGTTAGCACCCTTCGTCGCTACCAAGCACAGCTAACCACTGATCATGGGGAGAACTAAGTCAAACCGCAACCTCGTCAGCAAAGCCATCCCTGAAGACCAAGAGCCCAGGGAGCACGATGAGGACGCCACGGCCGACCAGGTCGGCGGAGGGGACCTCTTCCAGGAGGCCTTCTACCTCACGACGGACCTCCGCAACCAACTCAACGGCGGAGTCCCTGATGCCCGCCTCGGCCTGGACAAGAAACGAGCTGAGAAGACAGACCACGCCCCGGCCCAGCCTATGGCCGCGGCCTCTCCGTCCGTGGATCCGCAGGTCCAGGCCGCGCTATCGGTCATCATCGCCAGCCTGGCTCAGAACCCCACCGTCCTCAGCGCACTCTTGCCAAGGACCGGGGGAAACGTCACTCCACCTCCTCATCCCCAACCGTTGGCCGTCCAGATAGGCAACAATGAGGGGTTATGGCCCAGGACACGACGTCGTCCCACTCCCACCCTGCTTCCCCTCTTCGGCCCGGGCAGACCCCAGCGCGTGGAAAAGCCTCAGCCTTCAATAGGCTAGGTGACACGCGCCGTCGTCCGGTTTCGGAGAGGATGGCGGGACGGATTGGTGATCCTCGTCCTGGCTCGCCAAAGGAAAGCTTGGGGTCTGTGTCCCGGACAGCGGACCAGCCCCGCCCGGACAAGGGCAAGGGAAAGTTGCACGAGGATGACGTGCGTCACCAGATCAACGCGGCTCATAACGAGCGCCTGAGGACCCAGCCGGGCGCCGCCGCGGCCGACAGGGACCCCCGGGACGAGGTCATCGCCCAGCTGGAAAGGAGGCTGGCTCAGATGGAGGCTAAGCAGTCGGCCAACATCCCTACGGCCGGCGCCTCCAACGACCCCGGCCTCAACGCGCTCATGAACAAAGTTAGCGCCTTGGAGAGGGAGCTGGCCGAAGGACGAGGTGACCCCATCATCCAGGTCAGGACCAGGACCCCTTTCACTAACAGGGTCCTCTCGGCCCCCATCCCGGAGAAGTACAGGGGAAACGCCATCAAGACCTACGATGGCCGATCAGACCCCCAGGAGCACTTCAGCCGTTACCAGAACAACATGCTGATAGTGAACGCGTCCGACGAATACCTCTGTCGTTGGTTCCTCTCTACTCTCGAGGGGCCAGCGTACGAGTGGTTCAACGGGCTCCCCGAAGGGAGCATCGACTCATGACAAGATCTCGCCCAGCGCTTCCTCACTCACTTTGCCGAGAGGAAGCGCGCGAAGAAGTACTTCACCCACCTCCTTTCCGTCAAGCAGCAGCACGAGGGGTCCCTCCGGTCATTCATCGATCGGTGGACGAGGGAGACCGAGGAGGTCGAGGGGGCCGATGAGCGCACCCTCCTCGCCTTGTACCAGGGAGCCCTCCGCAGCTCCCCGTACGCTAGGAGCCTTATCACCGACCCCCCGAGGTCGTACGCCAAGGCGCTCCAGCGCGGCGGCTTGTACGCCGACGCCGACGAGCTCCATAATCACAAGAAAGAGGGGGGCCATCCCTCCAAGAAGACAAATCCTTCGCCGGCCCCGGGCCCGTCCCCGGCCGGCCAGGGTGCCCAGGGCCGTCACGGCTCTGGTGGACAGAGTAAGAAAGACCGCCACTGGCGGCCGAGGTTGGAACGGCCGGGGGTAACCCTCACCCACCCGGTCGGCACCATCCTCGATTATGCCGAGAAGCACGGCCTCATCGAGCAGGCTCCTCGGCCGGCCGAGGAGATCCTTGCCATCCAGCAGGGCGGCACGTACTGCCGGTTCCACAAGAACTCGTCGCACAACACCGACGATTGCATCACACTGAAGAAGGCCATCGAGCGCCTCATTCGCCAGGGGGAACTCTCCCAGTTTGTCAAAGGTGGCCCACGCAAGAACACTTGGGTAAACACCGGCAAACATGGGGGCGAACCCTCTGCGAAGAAGCGGGAGATTGGTAGGCTCAGCGACGACGAGGACTTCGAAGAGCCCCCGCCGAAGAAGAATCACATCCACCTCATCGTAGGTGGGAACACTGGGGTGGACTCCGCCACTCAGAGAAAGAAATGGGCCCAATCCCTTTACATTGGGGAGGTGTCCCACGTCCCCCCCCAGCCAAAGAGGCAGCGAACGGAGGCGATCACCTTCACCGACAAGGATCTGCCTCCGGGTACGGAATCACACAGGGACGCCCTCGTCATCCGATGTGAGATCGGTGACTCCATCATCCACCGTACTTACATCGATACGGGGAGCTCCGTCAACGTGATGTACCTGGACACCTTCAAGCAGCCGAAGCTGGACAGAGCTCTGCTGAAGCCGATCAAGACCCCGTTATCCGGCTTCACCGGGGACTCTATCGACGCCGAGGGCACGATAGTCCTCCCCGTGGAGGTCGGTGACGGCCCCCACCACGCCAAAATTGACATGGAGTTCATGGTGGTCAACCTACACTGCGCCCACAACCTGATCTTGGGCCGGCCAGCGCTGGAGGACTTGGAGGCCATCATCTCCATGAAGCACTTGTGCCTGAAGTTCCCCACCAACGACGGCATCGGCTACGCCAGAGGAAACCAGAGGATAGCCAGGGCATGCTACCTCAAACTGACAAGGCCGACCGAGAGAGAGGGCCAGAGGATAGACACCATCACGGCCGCCGTCGCCATGGACGAGGAGAGACCACATGCGGAGCCGGCCGAGGAGGTCGAGGAAATCCCTCTGGATACCTCCCGGCCGGAGCGGGTTCTCAGAGTCAGAAAGCAACTCCCCCAGGACCAAAGAGACGCCATCCTCCTCGTCCTACGGTCATGCGCCGTTGTCTTCGCGTGGGGCCCGGACGATATGCCGGGCATCAGCCGCCAGGTGATCACTCACCGGCTGACCGTCGATCCGGCCTCCGCGCCCGTCAAGCAGAAGCGGCGCTACTTGTCCGCCGACAGGCGGGACTTCGTCAAAGGGGAGGTCGCCATGCTCCTATCAATCAAACACATCAAAGAGGTGAAGTACCCGACATGGTTGGCCAACGTCGTCCTCGCCCAGAAACCGCCGACGTTCAGAATGTGTGTTGACTACACTGACCTGAACAAAGCGTGCCCCATGGACCCGTTCCCTCTCCACAATATTGATCAGCTGGTGGACGAGACGGCGGGGTGCGAGTTGATGTCGTTCCTCGACGCTTTCAGAGGGTACCACCAAATCTCCATGCATGAAGATGACGCTGAGAAGACGGCATTCATGACCCCAGAGGGAATCTTTTGCTACCTCGTCATGGCCTTCGGACTCAAAAACTCCGGCGCCACCTATACTAGGATGGTGGCCAAGATCTTCAGAGCGGTCCTTGGCCGGACGATGGAGGCGTACGTCGACGACATGATCGTCAAGAGCAGGCAGGCCACCTCCCACGCCGACGACCTACGAGAAATCTTTGAAATAATGAAGGAGTTCAGGCTCCGTCTCAACCCCAAGAAGTGCGCCTTCGGCGTCCAGGGCGGCAAGTTCCTCGGCTACATGATCAGCCGGAGAGGCATCGAGATAAACCCGAAGAAGACGCAGGTTATCATCAACATGGAGCCGCCCCGCAACGTCAAGGAGGTACAGCGACTGACGGGGCGCCTGGCGGCCTTAAACCGGTTCCTCTCCAGGTCAGCCGAGAGGGCACTCCCCTTCTTTCAGATCATGCGGAAAGCCAACAGCTTCAAGTGGACGACGGAGTGCCAGGAGGCATTCGACGAGTTGAAAAGGTACCTGTCGTCCCCACCCGTGCTCTCCAAGCCCAGAGCCGGCGAAACCCTCTTCTTGTACTTAGGGGTGAGCACGTCGGCCATCAGCTCCGTGCTCATCCGTGAGGACGAAGGGGTGCAGAAGGCCATCTTCTACATCAGCAAGACATTCAGGGAGGCCGAGCTCAGGTACTCCCCCGTTGAGAAGACGGTGCTGGCCATCGTCCACACGGTGAAGAAGCTGGGGCACTACTTCCAGGCCCACACCGTCCATGTACTGACCCAGCAGCCTCTCGACGCACTCATGAGGGAAACACAGAGACCAGTAGTTGACCGGCGGTCAATGAGGGAGCCACCATAATCTGCATCAATGAAGGCTTGGACTGATAATTGTCACCCGTCCTGAATATTATCCCTTGCCCTGGACTTCCTTTAAGGTAGTGAAGAACCCTATAGGCTGCTTCTAGATGTGGTTTCCTTGGATCATGCATGAACTGACTCAAAACACTAACTGCATAGGCAATGCCAGGTCTAGTATGAGAGAGATAGATAAATTTGCCACATAAGCGCTGATACATTGATGAATCAACCTTGGGTTCATCAGTAGCAAGTCCAAGCTTACGATTAGGATCCATAGGTGCATTAACCGGTCGACAAGCACTCTTACCAGTCTCATTTAACAAATCTGTAATGTACTTTTGTTGGCTGATAAAGATGCCTTCAGATGAGCGAGCAACTTCAATTCCAAGAAAGTATTTTAGAGGGCCAAGAGACTTCATCTCGAATTTGGATTTCAGCTGCCCCTCAAGACGTTGTTTCTCATCTGGATCATTACCCGTCACAATGATGTCATCCACATATACTAAACGAATAGTGACTCCATTTGGGCGAGAGTGTTTGTAAAAAAGAGTATGATCCCCTTGGCTTTGACTATACCCATCAGCAAGAACAACCTGTGTGAAGCGGTCAAACCAAGCACGAGGGGATTGCTTGAGACCATAGATGGCTTTTTTTAAATGGCATACATGTGTAGAGGTACTTGTTGATGTTTTATTAAAGCCTGGGGGAATGTACATGTAGATCTCATCATGCAAGTCACCGTGGAGAAAAGCATTCTTGACATCAAATTGCAATAAAGGCCAATCAAAGTGAGATGCCAAGGATAGTAGGATACAGACAATATTGAGCTTAGATACAGGAGCAAAGGTCTCTTGATAGTCAATCACATACGTCTGAGTGTATCCTTTAGCCACAAGACGAGCTTTGTACCGCTCAAGAGATCCATCAACCTTGTATTTGACAGTAAAGATCCACATGCAACCAACAACATGCCTCCCAGGAGGTTTAGTCACAATATCCCAAGTATGGTTCTTTTCAAGAGCTCTAATTTCCTCTTGCATAGCATCCCTCCATTCTTTCTTTCCTAATGCCTCAGAAACAGAGTTGGGTATGAGAATTTCATTAAGTCTCTGAACAAACAAGGCATGTGAAGGAGAGAAGTTATCAATGGTAACAAAATTAGCAAGAGGGTATTGAGGTGTTTTGGTACATTGACGTACACCCTTGCGTAAAGCAATTGGCGGAGATGGTGGTGGAGAAGAATAGACATTACCTGGGTCAGCCAATTGGTCTTGCGTCAACAATGGAGTGAACCTGTTTTTCCTTGAGTACACTTTTGTCACTGGTAGAGGAGAAGATGGGTCATGAGTGGTGGATTTAGTAGGTGTAGGAATGGGATGGTCTGGTGGTGGATTTGATTGAGGTTCAGGTGATGTTGAAGACTGTTGAGAAGTAGGTGAGGTTGCTGACAAATCTAAGGAAGGTGATGGATGATCATGTGGTGGTGGTGGTGGTGGTGATGGGATGTCTGGTGATAAAGGCTTAGGAGGGTAGGAGATTGTATGTGGTGGAGAAGATGTAATAGTATAGGTGGGCAGAGGTGAAGGATGTGGAGTATCTTGGGATACAGGTTGAGAAGTAGGAGTGTAAAAAGGTGTGTCTTCGTTAAAGGTCACATCTGCACTGGTGTATGTCTTTCTGGTTGTAGGATTATAGCACTTATATCCTTTCTGAGTTGGAGAATAACCAAGAAAGATACACTTAATAGATCGTGGGTCCAATTTTCCCCTATGAGGTGGAGGAATATGAACAAATGCTGTACACCCAAACACCCTTAGATCAAGATCAGAAGAAATTCTGGTTTGAGGAAAGAAGTGAAGGAGAGATTCAAGGGGTGACTTATTTTGGAGTACCCGACTGGGAATTTTATTGATGAGATGACATGCTGTGAGTGTGGCTTCCCCCCAATAGTGTTTAGGCATATTTGATTGAAACAATAAAGCCCGACTGATTTCTAGGAGATGGCGATTTTTTCTTTCTGCTGTGCCATTCTGTTGTGGTGTGTACGGACAAGAGGACTCATGAACAATGCCTTTTGAGAGGAAATAAGAGGAAACTGTTTGATTGAGGTATTCAAGAGCATTATTAGTGCGGAAGCGTTTTATTGTGACGGAGAACTGATTATGAATCATATTGCAAAAATTAGGAATGATGGAACTCACCTCACTCTTGTTTTTTAGCAGAAAAACCCACATAAAACGTGTACAATCATCAATAAATGTAACATACCACCGGGCACCAGATATATTAGCAATTGGAGCAGGGCCCCAAACATCACTTTGTATAATATCAAAAGGAGAACAACTGATTGTATTACTTCTAGAAAAAGATACACGAGACTGTTTAACAAGTTCACAGACATCACATTGAAATGTAGAAACATCAATACTACTAAAAAGACTAGGAAACATGGTGCCTGGTGAAGCCAAGGCGCTTGTGGTGAAGCCAAATAGTGTTGGTATTCGCTGTGATTGTGGTAAGAGCTTTTTGTGGAGGTTTGGAGACAAACAGTGCATCAAGGTAGTACAAGCCATCTCTTTGTTTAGCAATTCCAATCGTCCTCCCCGTGTGTAGATCCTGTAATAAACAGTGGGAAGGGAAAAAAATGGCAGCACAATTAAGATCAACTGTGAGTTTGTAAATAGAAGCAAGGTTCATAGCCAGGTTTGGGACATGTAGGGTGTTGTTCAGATTTAATTTTTCAGAAAAAACAACCGTACCAAGTCCCGCAACCTTTGTAGGTGTCCCATCAGCAGTAGTAATGTGTGTGGATGTAAAACATGGATGATAATTAGAGAGTAAAGAGGGTATGGCAGTCATATGAGATGTGGCACCTGAGTCTAATATCCATTGAGATTGTGAACTCTGTTCTGTTAGAACCTCCAGGAATCCAGAACAATTACAGAAGGATGAATAAGAAACACAATGGAAAAACTTTATTGAATCCAAGAAGATGAACAGTAATCTGTACAAAGGCAGAAGCCCTCAAAGCCGAAGCTCCCAAAGAAAGAGATTATTAGTCTCAGTCTTCCCAAGTCCCAAGACAAGAGTCCAAAAGCCTCCCCTCCTCTTTCCCCACTTCCCACTCTTATAATAAGGCTACCCTCAAGGGCTGGCCCAAAATCATAACATAAATGGCCCAACAACCTTATTTGTACACTATTACATTATTTATTATAATTCTATTATTCTTATTATTATAGGCTGTCTATGTCCCTATCATATCTCCCCCCTGAACAACCACCTTGTCCTCAAGGTGGGTGATAGGAAACAGCCTTGTTGACCTTCAACATCTTCTTCATCCGAGCGCCTCTTCCTTCCCAATATCTCGCAGTTTGTTGAATCAGAAGCTTCAGTACTTGTACCTCCAAAATCACAGATGTTGCGGCTGCAGAAGATATGTCGAGTGCAGTTTCATTTGTTGCAGTGGCCTTCAAGCACTTACTGGCTACAATTAATTCCTCTTTTTCAAAAAAGTTCCTCAAGGACTCTTACTTCTGGAGTCATCAGTGAGTTGGATGCAGATTTGAGGTTGCTCAAATTACTCAATTCACTGTCTACAACAAGCCTTATGCAAATTAAGTTGTGCACCACAGTACTGCCATGCGATGTCAGATTCTCCAACCGCCAAAGTCCCAAGCCTGGGAAGTTTTCTTCTTTCCTTTCCCTTATAAGAGAGCCAATAGCTCTTGCAGCAACAGAATGAGCTTCAGGGACTGGTTCCTGATGAACTTCGGTCAGAATACTCAAGAACATATTGGTTTCCTGATTCTTAAAAGTGATGACCGCCCCAAACTCCTGTATTTTATGAACATGTCCTTCAATATTGCTACCAAGAGCAGACTCATCAGTCCATCTCAGTACAGAATCAGAGGAGCCCCGAATTGCAGAAAATACCACATTGCAGCCTTCCACATCCAGAACCGAAAGCTGATCAACTTTAAAATCAGGCTTCAAGATAGACTTCATCAACCCAACCTTATCAATAAAATCAATGGATGTATCTGGAAGATATCTATCACTCTTGTCTCTAACTGAAAGTTGCACAGCAGCTGTTATGGCCTCATAAGTATATTTATACTTGCTATACTCATCATTCCACTGCTGAGGTTTACTCGTATAACCTCCTTTTTCCTTCCATTCCTTCCTGTCTTCATCTCTGAACTTCAAAACAGTGCCTACCAGTTTAATGCTAATCATTAGTATGATTAACTTTTGAAACCATTCTGGATGAATTCTTCTAGTCAGTGTCTTCTGCAGAGGATTCCATGTATAAGCAGTTGTCTGCTCCTTTTCCCCAAACCCATTCACTGTGATTTCCTCAAACCCCGTCTTCTCCTTAATTACGTCCTTGATTTCATCTTTCATATTCATTTGCCTGATTACAGGTTCAGTTAGTTCCATCTGTGTCTTCTTTATTGACTGGGCAATATCTTGTTCAGGGTGAGAAACTTGCAAACTACTAGAAGTTGTGGGTGACCTTGATGATACCTGTTTTTCTGTCCTCCCTGTCTTCTGCCGGTGTTTAGGTGGAAAATCCCTAATCAAGTCTTCCTTTAGAGCATTCCAACTATCTTCTCTCTTATGAAAATCCCACCAATGAAACCAGCCATCTGCTTCTTCCCCCATAGCCTTCGCTGCCACGTCCACTTTAAATCTTTCTGCAATAGCTTGGACTCGGAAATATCTTTCCATCCTCCCAATCCATTCATATGCTTCATGCTCGTAGAATAGAGGTAATTCCTCCTTCTTTGAAATAGCAGATTTCCGAGAATTGACTTTTGACGAGGAAGGTGAACTGTGAGAATCCTTTGGAGACAAATATGATGATTCTCCACTTCCTAGCTTCTTTCTTGAACGCATATTGATATCTGAGGAGTCAGTCTGCGAGTAAAGAGAAACTGTTCGCCTCTGTGAATAGTGATCGGAAGTTCGCGAGTGCGAGCCAAAATAAGTAGTTAGTTCGCGATCGCGAACTGGAAGATGAGGTTCGTGACTGCGAAATATGAGAAGTTCGCGATTTCATCTGTGAATCCGTTGGTGATAGCGGCTCATGGCTGAAGTTCCTCGATCGATCTCCAGGTCTTCTGCGAAGACTCTGTTCTTCCGATTCCTCTGAGTCAACCGGATGTTGCGTACGTCGATGAAGAGAGTCGCGATGCGACCTATGCGATTTGTGCGATCGATTCCGCGAACAATTTTTAAGTCGGTTCTGCAATTCTGCGATGCCAACTTGCATAGTCGCTTGCATATCAGCCATCATCGTCGCTAACCTAGCGTTTGACTCCCTCATTAGTCGGTCAATATTATCAAAACTCTCTTCCATTTGAGGTGTCATGTAGAAATCCTCCTCCATGCTTCAGATTCTCCGTCTCCAGGAAGTAAGGCTCTGATACCAATGTTAGAACCTCCAGGAATCCAGAACAATTACAGAAGGATGAATAAGAAACACAATGGAAAAACTTTATTGAATCCAAGAAGATGAACAGTATTCTGTACAAAGGCAGAAGCCCCCAAAGCCGAAGCTCCCAAAGAAAGAGATTATTAGTCTCAGTCTTCCCAAGTCCCAAGACAAGAGTCCAAAAGCCTCCCCTCCTCTTTCCCCACTTCCCACTCTTATAATAAGGCTACCCTCAAGGGCTGGCCCAAAATCATAACATAAATGGCCCAACAACCTTATTTGTACACTATTACATTATTTATTATAATTCTATTATTCTTATTATTATAGGCTGTCTATGTCCCTATCATGTTCCGAAGCATTAAGACAAAAAATAGTAGAGGTTTTTACCTTGCAAGGTCAAAGAGCTATGACCAGAACCATTTGAGTTATTAAGAGACTGTAACATCATACGAAGTTGCCGTAATTCCTCCTGGGAAATGGGCGAAAGATTAGTAGAGCTCTCAACAATAGTGGGAGTGACTGAGTTGGCACGTCCAGGACTAGTTCCATGTCTGTCTTGGCTTTTTCTTTCTTTTTGTAGATGAGGATAAAGTTTCCAGCATGTATCCACATTATGGTTGGACCGCTTGCAATGATCACACCATCTTCCTACCTTACTACCCTTAGTTTCCTTAACATCTGAAGGAGTAGATTTGGCAGCAAGAGCTGTATTGTCAATCAGATTTGTATTCATCATTATATTGCGTCTACTCTCTTCATGTTTGATAGTGGCAATGGCAGAAGATATGGAAGGCAGAGGAGTAATGCCAAGAATTTGACCCTGAGTCTGATCATATTCGGGATTTAAACCAGACAAGAAGCAATATAGACGTTGCTGATTTATATAGTTCTTGTGAAGAGCTGCATCTGCAGCATTCGACCACTTCATCGTTTGATACTGGTCAAGTTCAGACCATCGTCGTTGGAGGTCAGTTGCATAATCTGTGACAGATGTGAATCTTGCTTAAGATTCGTTGTTTTGAGCCATAAGTCATAGACAAAAGCGCCATCTTTAGCAACTGAGTAGGACTGCTGTATGAAATCCCAGATTTCTTTAGCCGAGTCCATGTATAAACATGTACTGCTAATGTTAGGATCCATAGAGCCCCATAACCGGATTCATATGTTGGCATTAGTTTTCTCCCAAATAGCAGCATCAATCTCTCTTTCTTCTGGGGTAGAGACAGTGATATAGTCTTCAAGATCTTTGCCACGTAGGAGAGTGTAAACCAGCTTTGACCACCCAAGATAGTTCCTGCCATTGAGACGGTAAGATGGCAGGATAGAAGGGAGATCAATTTCTGGTTTCGAAGAGCAAACGCGGCTGCAGTAGCAGCTGAAACAATGGTTGAGTGATCAAGGTTACTTGATTCAGTTTCCTTAGACATGATAAAACCGTTGGTGAAGAGATGGGCACCACACGATTAAACAGAGAGGCAGGGAGAGAGACCCTAGTAGACTGTTCGAAAGATTATTAACAGTGAAGTGGCTGATACGAGATCAATCTCTGATACCATGAAGTTTTCTGAATATTATTTCCATGAATTCATTTACGAGAAGTACAAAAGCTATTTATACAGATAGGAATCCTGAGAGAGTCTATTCAGTACCCTAGGTGACTGTCTAAATACTAAACATAACAGATTGAGAACTGAAAAGACAGCAGCTATTAAATACAACCTGAAGCACTAAAGACACATAATTACAGTAATAATAAGGAAATTAAATCCTAGATTAATGATGTCTCTTCGTTTTATCAACATATACTATTCTATAATTACCAAATATGATGTATGTAACATCATATTGAACCAAATGCATAAAAAAGCTAGGATTCACCAAAATAAAGTCACGATTCACAAAAATAAAAGCCCAAATTTAGAATTCATGGCTTTAATACCTTTTATAAGAACTTAAAAATATACCTTTAACTGTGAGTATTATATAGTATTAAGTTATTAACTATTAACTATATAATCAAAGCAGAGTACTATGAGTCTATGAGTATTATATACATACTATAAAAGCTGGAATTAGTTAATAGTTAATCAAAGCTGGAATTAGTTAATAGTATTAACTATAAACATATATCTTTAACTATGAGTATTATATACATACTAATATACTAAAAAATCACAGAGCAGAGTACTTTGAGTATTATATACATACTAATATACTAAAAACTCACAAAGCAGAGTACTATGAGTATTATATACATACTAATATACTAAAAAATAAAAAACCAGATTACTATGAGTATTCAGCGTCGAGTGAGGAAAGCTAGGAGAGTGAAGAGAGAGAATGGCTAGCGATGATAGCTGTAGTGTCTTGACTCTTGCACAAGTTTACATGGGTTTTACGTAGTTTTACATGTACTTTTACGTGGGTTTAACTTTCTTCACCCTATTATTTTCATGGGCTGAGTGCTATTAAAGATATGGGCTAATTGTTTTTCAAAGTTTTAAATCCAAAAAAGGATCTTAGCCTTTTCCGTCTCAGGTGACCTAGGCGTGCACCTCATAGCGCTTCAGCGCTTCCTGCGCTTAGGCTGCGCCTGACCCTGGTATGCGTGCTTCTCCTATTCTCAGGCGCTGGGGGTGTTGGTCGCTGCGCCTTGTGCGCTTAAGCGCTGGGGCGAGCGCTTTTGACAACCTTGATATACTCCCTTATCTTCTTCCTTGCTTCCTCTTATTCTCAGTGCAACATTCCTTTCTTCCAGTAATAGAGCACGGTCCATCAGCTCGGTCAAACTCTGTCCAGGATACAGTTTGAGTTCTGCTTTGATCTCCACCTTTAGGCCATTGATAAAAATGCCTTTAAGCATTTCATTGTCAATGCTTCGGAGGGGAGCTAGACCAGCTCGAATTTCTCCTGATATTCCATGACTGATCCTATCTGCTTCACGCTAAGAATAGGACCGAAGGGATCTTGCACCATTCTCGATTGAAACCGTCGAAGCTAGGAACGTTCATTGGTCCGTTCCTCCCACCATTGGTACCAGTTTAAAGCTTTCTCTTCCATTGCCACTACCACCATCTCTATTTTCTCAGTCTCCTTAACTTGATTCAACCGGAAAAACCTTTCCACCCTAATGATCCACCCATGGGCATCTTCCCCATTAAAAACAGGCAAGTCAACTTTCCTTCCAGTACGAGCATAACACCTATGTACTGCAGGTTCCGGAGTAAAGGACGAAGCGCGAGAACTCTTAGAATGACCTCTGGTATGCGATGAGTCCGCACTTTCCTCCCGGCGATGATGTTTAGACACCCGTGACCTTCCTCTTCTCTTATGGCGATCCCGGTGTAGCATCAGATTCTTCAGTTCGGCCACCGTCTCGCGCAAGCCAAACAGTTCGTTCACAGCAGTCTTCACTTCCGCTAAGGTGTTTTCTAGGTTTTCCACACGTTGCTCCATTCTCGATCGAGTCAGGACCATGCGCAGGTATAGCGATAGTCACTCGCTTTGATACCAATGATAGGTAACCAAACAAGAGCAGTAGAAATTGGTAGTATATTAATGAAAATTTTAATGAGGGAAGACAGAAAGTAACTAAAGAAAAGGTAGAGACTCTTCGAGTGGTCTCACACCCAAATTCCCAGTCCCGTTCAATATTCTACCTGCCCATCTACTCACCCTTCACCCTTATTTATTCTATTTCTAATGGGCCTGCTCACTTCTATTAAGTTATAGGGCCTAAAAATCTATTATTGACAATATTAAAATTACTTCATAAAACTCTTATTATTGGTAGTGTCCGGGTCCCTAACACTCGGTTGTGACGATCAGCGGGACTGCCTCGGTTTCTGTCAGATGTGGTTAGCTGGGAGAGGTGTTGCTGTTTACATTCAATTTGTGTAGCCAGGTTCATCCGGTCATCCCTGTTTCCAAGGGATTGAAAGTGTAGCTCCAATCCGATTTCTATCCGAAGTTCCACCCTGTATGCGTTAACCTTGAATTGGCTTGGTAAACCTTCCACATGTGCCAGTAGTCGCTAGACTGAACTAATATGTTTGTCCACGGTTCAGGATTTAATTTGAATGAGATCCCCACAGGGTTGCATCTTATCGTAGGTCCAAAGCTAGCTGAGGAGTCAATTTCTCAAATAATGTACCATGAACTATACCTGATTGCAATGTTTCAACCAACTAAACGGGTCGCCAATGCCATTGAAGAACAGAAACTCGAGTTTGGACTAGCGTGGGACGATATATAGATAGATTTGATAACATCAAGTACTTGTACCGTGTAAGGAATACTGTACACACACCTATTGTAATAGTCTAGTATTACCTAGCTGTTAAAGTAAGTCAGTTAGAGCTGCTAATAATTAGTTACAAGTCTGTTAAGCTTCTGTAATATAAATATATGTACTGTTATTGTGATCATTAAGAAATTCTCTTCTTCCTTTTCAATCTCTGTTACTATTCTAATATGCTATTAGAGCTTTAGCTCGATCTAGCCACGGCAAACTCGAATTTAACTTCGTCTTCTTCCTCAGCTACCGGAAATATTACTTTTCCGGTAGCATTCTCACATCCTCTTCCAATCAAACTTGATTCAAATAACTATCTTCTCTGGAAGCATCACATTGAATCTGTGATCTGCGCACACAAATTGTTCAAATTCATTGAAAATCCAGAAATTCCTGATCAATTCATCACTGGTGACGTCATGATGATGAAGAAATCAAAACGGTGAATGATGCGTATGTCGTCTGGGAGCAACAGGCCCAAATGTTATTCTCATGGCTGCTCTCGTCTCTATCCGAATCATTTCATGCTCGTGTAATTCACTGTCAACATTCGCATGAGCTTTGGAGCGATTCACAAATTCTTTCAATCCAATATTGTCGCGAGAGCCAGGCAGCTTAAATCTGAGATCTACAACACTGGAAAAGAAGAACGATCAATTTCAGAGTATCTGCTTGGCATTTAGACTATCGTCGATAATCTCATATCGATCGGTGAACCGATATCCACCAAGGACCATATCCACGTCATTCTCAAAGGCCTTCTAGAAGACTACAAATCTCTCGTATCTTCTGTGACCTCTCGAAGCATCTCTGAACTCGAACCTTTGCTCTTGGCCAAAGAGATGCGTCTGAAGAAGCTTCACGATTCAACTCAGCAAACCATATTCTCCGCCAATGTTGCTCGCGTTGAAGCCTCTTCTCAAAGTAATTCCTCTATTTCTACAGCTGTTGAAACCTCTTCTGCAAATGTTGCTCAATTTAATAAACCCTAATAACAATACTTCTTATCGTGGATGAGGTAGTGGAGGCTTCAACAGAGGCCGGGGTGCTCTAGAGGTCGCAGCTCTGTGATCCGTCAGGTCTGTTGAAAATCAGGTCATCATGCATTGATTTGCTACCATCATTACAATCCTGCCTATACCAATTCAAATTTTAATCCTACTTTCACAACTTCCACTCCTGGACCTTCAAAATACTGGAACTCACATTCACCAAACGGTCCAAACCCTTACCATCAAAATCAGTTCACTCACCAATCTGCATATACACCCAAACCAAACACATATCACCCTCATACTTTACCAATTAATCGTACTCAGTCATGGAATCAACACTCTACCAATTCAGCTCCAGAAGCTTTCAATTGGGGACATCATCAACCTTCCAATCCTTCACCATCTGCTGCATTTGCTCGTGCCAATTCATCTGTGCTTGGTCCCATTCCACCAAATCAGCAATGGTTTCCAGATTCAGGGGCAACACACCATGTCACAACTCACAACTGATCCACTGAATTTCCAGCATAGTGAGCCTCTTGCTACAACTGACAAGCTCTTTATGGGAAATGGTCAAGGTTTGGATATACAATCTATTGGTTTTTCTTCTTTTCCCTCACCCTATCAATCCTCACATTCACTTATTACATAATATTCTTCATGTTCCTTCCATAACCAAAAATCTGTGGAGTGTTTGCAGTTTGCTAAGGACAATAATGTCTTCTTTGAGTTTTATCCTCATGAATGCTGTGTCAAATCTCAGGGTTCTAAACAAGTTTTGTTACATGGACTACTTAGTGAAGATGGTCTGTACAAGTTTCCATCCATTTCTCTTGGTTCATATCAATCTGCTTGCCTGCTGCTGTCAATTAACCTGCTTCTATAGTTTCTAGAAATAAATCTGTGTACCCCCTCTCCTTTATGTCTACTTGATATAAGTCTCAATCATGTACTCGACCAGTTTCATGTAATCTGTGGCATTTAAGACTAGGCCATCCTCATCTTGAGGCACTTGAATTTGTACTCAAATACTTTAATGTGTCTTCAAGTAATAAAAATAATGTTCAATTCTGTTCTGCTTGTTGTCTCGGAAAGGCACACATATTACCTTCATATCCATCTAATACTGTGTTTCATAAACCTTTTGAATTAATATTCACTGATCTATGGGGTCCAACACCCATCTTATCTTTTGATGGTTACTCTTATTACATAGCATTCAGTGATGCCTTTACAAGATATACTTGGATATATTTTCTGGAAAAGAAATCTGATGCTTTCATAGCCTTTCAGACTGGGGAGGGGAGTTTAGATCCTTTACCAACTTCCTCACTAAAAAAGGTATTAATCACAGAATAATTTGTTCTCACACACACCATCAAAGTGGTGTTGTGGAAAGAAAACATCGCACCATTGTTGAAAAAGGTCTGTCAATCCTAGCCCACTCTTCCTTGCCCTTCAAATTCTGGGACACTGCCTTTGCAACCTCAGTACATCTCATCAATAGAACCCCATCTAAATCCATTGCTAATTCCGGTCCCTACTTTAAACTCTATGAATTTGTCCCAGACTATTCCTTTCTTAGAGTATTTGGTTGCTCTTGCTATCCATTCATTAGACTTTATAACAAACTTAATGGATTTTCACTCTGAATAGTGCATTTTTATAGGTTACTCCTCTCAACACAAAGGCTATATGTGTCTCTCTAAATCTTGCAAAGTGTATATATCCAGGGATTTTATATTTCATGAGTCAAAATTTCCTTATTCAACACTTTTTCCATCCACAGCCTCTACAACTAACACAATCAATCCACCAAACTCTGCCACTTTAACTGTTCTACATCCACACTCATCACATACCCCTCCTGATTTATCCCTATCTCATCACACTGACTCACAATCAACTGATTCTCAGAGTCATGTTTCATCTACATCATCCTCTCCTCCCTCTCATGAACCATTGGTTCAATCTCATTCATCTTCTCATAATCTATAGTCCTCTCCTGTTCTGTCTTCACATCAGTCTTCTCCTGCATCATCTACTTCCTCCTCTTCCTCTTCCACTCCTATTCCTTTAACCAACACTCATCCTATGCAAACTAGGGCAAAATCAGGAATTATCAAACCTAGACTTCATCCTACCTTGCTATTAGCCCATATTGAGCCTAAGTCAGTTAAAGCATGCTCTCGAACTCTGAACATAATGCCTTGATAGCAAATACAACTTGGCCATTGGCTGCAAGTGGGTTTTCAGGATTAAAGAAAATTCGAATGGCTCTCTAAATAAGTTCAAAGCCAGATTAGTGGCTAAAAGCTTCCATCCAAGGTTTGGATTTGATTTTGGAGAGACCTTTTCACCTGTTGTCAAACCTGTCACCATTAGAGTTCTGCTTACCCTGACAGTCTCTCATAACTGATCTATTCAACAACTTGATGTTAGCAATGCTTTCCTTAATGGAAATCTTGATGAAGAGGTTTACATGGTCCAACCTCCAGGGTTTCAAGTAAAGGACACTTCTCTTATCTGCAAACTTCACAAGTCACTGTATGGCCTAAAACAGCCCCCTAGAGCATGGTTTTACAAACTGACCTCTGTCCTCTATGCAGCTGGATTCAAGCAAAGCAAACGTGACCCATCTCTACTTATCTTTCTGGGATTCAAATCTACTGCAGTTCAAAACCTCATTCACAAGCTGCACTCATCCTTCTCTCTCAAAATTTGGGTGATATCGACTTCTTTCTAGGAATTGAAGTTAGAAAACTGGGAAATGGTAGTCTACATCTTTCTTAAACTAAATATGTGAGAGATCTGCTACATAAAGTTGTAATGCTTGATTCAAAAGGCGTCATAACATCTATGGTCATGAGCTGCAAGCTCACAAATACAGGAAGTGATCATCTACCTGATCCCTCCACTTACAGATCCATAGTTGGAGTCCTACAATATGCAACCTTAACAAGACCTGAAATTAGCTATGCTGTAAATAAAGTCTGTCAATTCATGGCCACACCTCTACAAGATCACTGGAAGGCAGTCACACATATCAGACATGGCATCATTATCAAAACTCTTCCTCTGGACACCATACCTCTGCCTATTTCAGCATTTTGTGATGCTGATTGGGCATCCGATCCTGTTGATAGAAGACCCACATCTGGATCTTGCATCTTTTTTGGTTTCAATATCATTTCTTGGTGGTTTAAGAAGCAACTAAGAGTGGCCAGATCTTCAGCAGAAGCTGAATATAGAAGCTTAGCAGACACAACAGCTGAACTCCTATGGGTTCAATTTTTATTCAAGGAACTTCAAGTACCATTCACTACTCCAAGGGTTTACTATGACAATCTCAGTAATGTTCAACTTGCACACAACCCTGTGTTACACTCGTATCAAACACATGGAGATTGATCTCTTCTTTGTTAGGGAAAAGGTTCAGTCCAAGCAGCTTGAAGTATTCCATATTCCAGCTCCTCATCAACTTGCTGATGTCCTCACAAAACCATTGTCTGCCTCATCTTTTCTTGACTCAAGGACAAAACTTAGTGTGATTGATCTTTCAAATCAATCGCCCTAACTTTGAGGGGGAATGTTAGGAATACTGTACGCACACCTATTGTAATAGTTTAGCATTATCTACTATCTAGCTGTTATAGCAAGTCAGTTAGAGCTGCTAATAGTTAGTTACAAGTCTGTTAAGCTTCTGTAATATAAATATATGTACTGTCATTGTGAGCAATAAGAAATTCTGTTCTTCCTTTTCAATCTCTGTTACTATTCTAATATACCTTACTAAAATTAATAAGTTGTATACTTGTATTTTGGTATTGGGGCTCAGGTAGTATTTGCATTTAGATTCGGGCTTTCTGTTCATCTTCACTTTTATTTAGGTAACCGTGTTTGGATATAATCACAAGTTGAGGATCTTATTGGAAGCAGTTGTTGGAAAGATTGCTCAGTTTGAAGTGAAATCTGATAGATTCTATGTGATCAAGGTGAGAATCAGCTATTCTGTTTTACTACATATGTGCTGATCTCAAATTTTAGGGAAAATGCTATTTGTGTTATTTTTATGATTGTTGTAACTAATAGCTCTGATTGATCTATTGGCGGTGTTGATTTTCTACTGTCTTCTGGTAGGAACTGGTGACTAAAGAATATCAGAATCTCAAGTTCCAACAGCCTTATCAACAGGCTATGTATTACTGCTCTCTGATGCTGCAAGACCAAACATGGCCTTGGAATGATGTTCTCGAACTTCTACCTCACATTGAAGCAGAACATCTCTTGAAGTTTTATCCTCTGATGCTGTCAAGGACCTTCTTAGAATGTTATGTTGCAGGTTGTCACATTCCTGGATTTCATGTACTTTTTCCCCTTGTTTCGATGTCAACTCACTATACGTTTCAGTCTTTCACTGATCTTTTAGGGTGTCTTCGGAACCCAGAAAGAACTAGCGAAAAAACGGAAAGGATCTTTTTTTCATGAAAATAAAGGAAGAACTGTAACAGTCAAACTCAATATGTCACATTCAAAAGACTAGTGTGGCAGAGATGAGTATGTTGCGTTGGATGTGTGGGCATACCAGAAAAGACCGCCTGGGGATTGAGATACTCAGACAAAAGGTGTGAGTATCACCTATAGAAGATAAGATGCATGAGTCTCGATTGTGCGCAAAAGACCGACTGATGCACCTGCTACTTGTCAGACGACTTGAAATGTGGGGAGAAGAGGTGGAGAGGAGGAGAGGGAGAGGAAGACCCAAACATATTTGGATTAGAGGAATCAGAACTGATATGCTTCTTCTTAGGTTAAATGAAAGTATGACTTTGGAGAGAGCAAAGTGGAGAGCGCGTATTCGGGTGGACGATTGATCTCTTTTCTCTCTCGTCTCTCTTTTCTCTCTTTTCTTTTGTCTTTCATCTTCTTTATCTTTGTATGTTATTATGTTATTTTTATCTTTTATCTTTCTTATGCTCTTTTTTATGTTTTATCTTTCTTATATTCTTATGTTATTTTTATCTTATATTTATCTTTATTTTATTCACTTTATCATACTTTATCTTTTTATTCTTCTTATCTTTCTTCTCCTTTTGGTTCTGATATCATGGATCGATTCATGTTAGCTAATCCCAAAATCTTTTGGGAATAAGGTTTTGATGTTGTTGTTGTATTTATATATTATTTACTTCTTTCATATAATGACCAATGTTCTAAAAGGCGTTAGGCGCTAATTGGGTGCCAACCTAGCGCCTGAGCGGGGACTAGTCGGAGATATAGAAAATATATTTTTATCAATATTTTTGTACAAATATGATAAATAATACTCCGTATTGTGTTTGTACGTGTGTATAAAACACACACACACACATATGATAAAACATTAACATGCATGATAGAATTGTCACATTTAGTAATATATTATAAGGGGGAATTTGACTTTGCACCACACTTTTTGGGTAATATTGGACTTTGCACCCCATTTTCAAAAGACTGACTTTACACCCCATTTAACTTAAAAGTCTTTTAAGTTTCCACCCCATCCAGAATTTTTTTGCTTCACAAAATGTTTATGATGGGGCGCAAAGTCAAAGTTTTTTTAAAATAGGGTGCAAAGTCCAATATCACCCAAAAAGTGGGGTGCAAAGTCAAATTACCCCATATTATAACTACTAACTTAACTTTATTATTAGTAAATTTTATATAATAAAGTAGTACTCTCTTCATATGCGTGGCTAAAGTTAAAGTTGGATAAAGTAACTTAACTTAATGTATAGTTTTTATCTTAATCTACTAGTAGATTTCTTCGTATGCGTGGCTAAAGTTAAAGTTAGATATATCTTTTAGAAAACTAAAAGAAAAAAGAAAAAAATGTTTGGCAAATCTAGATGCCCTAGGCTGTCGATTACGCGCTCTTGGAGGGCAACTAGGCGCCCTAGTCGACCGACTAATTCACCTAGGTGTCACACCAATTAGTCGGGGCGCCTAGACTAAAATCGAGCGCCCGACCACCACCTAGCGCCTAGGCGGGGACTAGTCAGGTGTCTAAAGTGAATTTTAGAACAATGATAAAGACTAATTTAGTCCCCGCCTTGGATGTTGTTGTTTCCAATGTAAAGCAAAACTTAAGAGCTCAACTTAACTTTGTATTTTCTTTCCCTTCCCAAATGTGTTAAGTGATCTAAACATACTCTTGCAGGAAATATTGGACCGGCTGAAGCAGAGTCAATGATACAGCATGTCGAGGATATCTTCTACAATGGCCCAAAGCCTATATCTCAGGCTCTGTTTGCATCTCAACATTTGACTAGCAGAGTGGTCAGGCTTAAGAGGGGGAAGAGATACATTTATGCCAGAGAAGGCTTGAATCCAAGTGATGAAAATTCTGCTCTCCTTCATTACATACAGGTGCTTACAAGTTACAAAATAACAAGCTTCTTTTATAAAAAAAATATAATTTTCTCATTGGAAAGTATATATATGGTCACTTCCCAAGGACTTCATATCCCTTCCATGAAGTTTGAAACAGGTTTCTTTAGTATGTTTAGATTTTTTAAGTGACTACATCATCGATTGGTCTTCAAATAAGGGCCTCCCAAAATGGATCCTTTCCAGTGTCTAAGGCTGAATCAATATCACAATCGTCACTGTCCTCGAGATCCTCCTACATTCTTCACCACGAACTGTGTGAATTGTCACTAAGAGAGATGATAATTTATTATTTATTATAACCCAAAATTTGAACCCAAATGGAATCAAATTCAGAGTTAAGCTCAAAGAGAAACTTAAAGATCCGTGCTTTTTCAATAAATTGGGTCAGTGTAGCAGTCTTCATCATAGTTCAGTGTCAAACTGTGATACCGATCCAATTCAATCCAGAGGCCATTCAGACTCCATAATATTCAGTCACAGAGAGTGTTCTACGCTTAGTATTGAAACTAGATTTTCCAGTGCATAACATGCTGAGAGATCTTGTTTCATAGAATGTATCTCTGGGAGATTCTTCCAATTCTTCCTAGCAGTAGAGAAAAGCACACTGTGGATTTGTCTCAGCAGGGTTTTCTCCTACAATGTGACCAATCCTCTTGCATCCTCTAAGAGTGGTATGAACAAGTTGGGCCCATTGGAGCTAGTTGTGCCCATATGACCGATATAACCCCTTGCAACATCGGGAGGTCATTGTGGTTCAAAGGCGGAATAGAGACAAATTCTAAATCAACTCCAGGCACAGTGAAGAAAAAGAATGACAATCTAAGGTGGCAGTTGTGGAGAAGAATAAACACGTCCAGAGGAGCAGTTTTCTAGCAGTGGTTTGTACTGAGAATGAGCTTTTTTTTAAAGTGTGGAAGCAGAACCCCTAGGATTGGGATGCTGTGTTATAAACCTGAACTCCTGAAGATCTAAATTTATTTTTTAAGAATAAAATACAACTGCTGATTAAAACTTATGTCTTATAGGCTGGACTAACTTAATAAACAAAAGAGTATGTGCAAAATTTCGTAACTGCTTCTAGGATATCAAATTATAATTAAACCAAATATCATAACAATATATTTTAATATCACTACAAGTAGGTAATATAGCTTTCTGGTCAACAAGCGATAAACAATATGAGGGAGTACATATGCTAGGAATCAATAGTGGCAGTCGGAAATAAGAACCTTTTACCATTAGTCCACTTCCTTGTATTAGCTGCGTGAGCAGTCCACCCAGTTTAAGGTCCATTTGGAACACACAAAAACAAGGGCGAGAGGGAGTACAAATGAAAGTAGGGAAGATTATTTGAGGTAAAGAGGAAAGTAAAAGATAGACACAAAGTCACTACATTTATTTTTAAATACCGTTCAAATTCATTTAAGTTATTTATTAAAACTGTCAAATAGGCCCTCATCCTAGATCAGAAATGGCAATTAAGTCATCGAACTCCAAAATAAACCAATCAACCCCACACAGTTATAAAAAACGTTCAAATCTGCATCTTTCTGCGATTTGTTACGTTGTTGCTGTGGTGTCTCTCTACCAGGCAATAACCTGCCGCCTCTGTTCTCAACATTCCACACGCTGGTCAAATCTCCAAGGAGCCACCTGAGTTATGAAATTAAAGCACTAACTTGGGCGGCCTCTACACAATCACTGCTGAAGAACATCAACTCACCAACCAACCGCCACGTACCTGTTGATAAGCACTGTTTGCCAAAATCTCAAAGCAATAAAAACAATAGCCATATCTGTAACTTCTAAAAGGCAAGCTAAAACTCAAGATTAATGGCGGACAACGTTCGCAAATAAGGGGGACTATCATACCCATCAACCTCGACAATTTCAATATGTTCATTCTTTACCTTTTCTTCTATTTCTTTTTCTTTGTATCTTCATTTTCTTCATTTCAGTTCTTCTCCTGTCTTGAATTATAATATACCCATCTCTGTTAGTTGAGCACACGTAGCCTACATCCCTCTTCTAAAAGGCACCATGTAGATTAGATTCAGTTTTTCACAAGTTTAAATAATTAGAGCTGTAAACCTGTTCAAGTAAGACTTCTGAAAAGTAATACTCCTCTGAAGCTCCTCTTTCTTTGTTTGGGAGTGTAAGAAGGTACAGAGGAAACTTTACTATTTAAAAAAAGAAAAACAGAACAAAAAGGGTGACATGGTAGCCACGCAAGCGAGGTAACCAGAAATAGGTAGATGACCTTCTAAATTGTCATTTTGAGCTTTTTTATAAGTTTGTGGACTTGATTGGGTGAATATTAAGTGCGGGGGTTTCATTGAGTTTTTCATAATAGTACGAGGCCTATTTGACAGTCGCAATTATTTATGTATTTCTGTTTTAGAAGGGCCAAGGAAATTACATTACATTTCATTTTCATTGGCATCTCTTTCCGTTCCCTGTTATATTTCAAGATCCAAACATATATTCTTAGGGTTTCTATAATTCTATGCGGTATATAGTGCACGTGGTCTGAGCCAGAACTTTATATAATTAGGCTTTTGGTGGATCTGAAAAGCAATTCAGTCATGATTACATTTAAATTATCATAGCAAAACTAGTTACCTCCCAAAAAAAGTTGACTGAATTTGGGGTGTGCCTCTGTGCGGGCCCCCGGATTGCTGATGTGTGTGAGAATACCCAACCACACCTTATGAGAAAAGACTTAGTTTGGTTTATAGGTTAAGAGTGTTAGCCATATATATTTGTTGAAGGATTTCGCTTTCATGCGAAACGGGTTATAATCTGTGATCTGTCCCTTGTGCTTTATATTTCCTTAAACCTTATGATCTTGACATCATTTATATTTGATGGAATAAGTTGCTTCCATCTACAGGTGCATCAAGATGAGTTCCTGGAGAATGTCAAGCTTCAGCTTTTTGTTCTAATTGCAAAGCAACCGGTTTTTCACCAGCTTAGATCAGTGGAACAACTCGGTTATATTACTGTGCTTTTGCACCGGTATGTATTACTACCTCCATCTTGTGGCATAGAAGGTGATCATTAATTTTCTTATAAATCAACAGCCATACATAAAACATTCCTAGGTGTCTAGGTGTTTAGAGGTACAGCTGTACAACAAAAATTTTAATACATGAGAAGGCATATTGGCCATTTTATGATGTTTTACTATAACAATTGACCCAAAATAATACCAATAATATTGGTATAGAAGAAATTCAAGGAAAGTAATCTAAATTGTAGAAATTTCATATTGGTAGGCTGGTAGCTAAACTATTTCAATGCTGAAAAAATGGGGCTGGACCTCTGGACCTGCATGCAGTTGGGCTCACTGGTGTTGCTCGCGCCATAAATCAAGCCCAGGCACTGTGGTCCAGTCATACCTGTCATCGGCCACGGCTACACATCCTAGGCTGAATACGGAGTTACTTCGCCACAGGTCACACACGGCCAGACACAAGCAGCACCCATTTCCTAGTTGTGACATGAGTGAAATACTTGGGATGACTTAGGAGAAGCATGAAGCCTGATTCACCAGAGAGGGGCATGTGTCATCATCATATACATTGGTAAATGGAAACCCTCACTTCAGGACTTCCCTTTTGGGGAAGAACACGCTTCAGTAGGCTAGTTAATTAGGGATACGTGTGGCGCATGTTGAACACTCAGGACACGTGTTATGCGAGTAGCCTAGCTCAATAATTGTATGCCTATAAATACCCCACCCCCTGATGATACTAATGTCAAGGTTATGGTTTTCAATCCAATCATTACTCTAGTGTGGGTTACGATAATCCATTAAACAAGCATAGTTTTCGGTAAGAATTCTAGGCAAAGTGCTGATATGGCCGCTGGGTATGTGGGTTGATATCAAAATTAGGATTATTTTTGGCCGGAGTTGGTATTCTGGAGTTTTTTGTCTTTATCCAATAATTGGTATTTTTTATAGGGGTAATTTGAGTTTGCACCCCATGTTGTTGTCCAAATTGGACTTTGCACCCCGTTTTTAAAAATCTTTGTTTTTGCACCCCAACCCCATATGAAAAGACAAAAATGCCCTCGATTAGGAATATGTTGAAGGCCAACAGAATTGATATCAAAATTAGGATTATTTTGGGCCGGAGTTGGTATTCCGGAGTTTTTTGTCTTTATCCAATAATTGGTATTATTTATAGGGGTAATTTGAGTTTGCACCCATATTGTTGTCCAAATTGGACTTTGCACCCCGTTTTTAAAAATCTTCGTTTTTGCACCCCAACCCCATATGACAAGACAAAAATGCCCTCGATTAGGAATATGTTGAAGGCCAACAGAATTGTTAATGGAGGGGCATTTTTGTCTTTTCACATGGGGTTGGGGTGCAAAAACAAAGATTTTTAAAAACGGGGTGCAAAGTCCAATTTGGACAATAAAATGGGGTGCAAACTCAAATTACCCCTTTATGTATATGCTAGCTTATAGCCAGATTTGTTCCCAGATAACATGCATGTATTATCTTCAGCGTGTATTCATATTATCAATTTGCTATTGCTAAAATTGGAATGGTTTTTAGCATAAAGGTTATAGTTAGTATTATTTTGAGTTGTTGGTCCTTTCTTTTTTGATTTGTTAAATAGATAGTTATTTGTTCTTCTAAATAGACAATACTCCCTCTATCCTGAATTGTGTCTTGTTTGGGTTTGGCACACTCATTAATTAAGTGGTTGAAAAGTAAAGTTTTGGGTTAGGTTTAAGTAGAATATAGTGAAGTTTATGAACCAGTGAACCACATATTTGTTGCAAGAAAAGGAAAGAGGACATTTATTTTGAAACAACCCAAAAAGGAACACCTGACATATAATTCGGGATAGAAGGATTATTTAATAATGGATAGAGTATATAGAACTTCCAACATTTTCTGTAGCATTTGAATTGCCAATGAAGAGTTGGTCTGTCCTACATTTTCTTAATTGCTGGGGAAGAGTGAGACAGGCCTGGTGAAATTGGTAGTCTCCCCCTTTCAGGGGCGGAGGCAGGATGTGAGGGTAGGTCCCCCAAAATTGTTAATGTATGGCTTCCCCTTAAGTTTATACACATCACAAATTTTCTTTGTACTTCTAGATCAGGCACTCCTTTGAGACAAATATCTTCAATACTGCTGCGTAATACGGAATATATTATTCTTTTTGATGGAATAATTACTCCTCCAAAATAGAGTGGTGTTAAAGATATACGTAGTAGTATTTTATTGCGGTATTAAAAAAGTTGGAGTAGTGCCAAAATTCATTGCACTACTATACTAGAGGAAGCACAGAATTAGGGGGGGGGGGGGGATTTTTTTACAAGGCAATAACTAATAAAATAAAAATGTTAGGAGCGGCCAATGCCTCTTTAAGCATACACATGCGTCCGCCCCTTTCCCCTTTGTGTTTTGGAGGTCTAGGGTTCGCTTTCATTTTGCAAAAAGAAGGGGAAAGATGCTCTATATTTTATCTCCTCCAAATTCTCTATTGTGCAGGGGAGTCAACACTAGGTACATCATCTTTCTCAAAATTGATACTGCATCTTCTATGTGTTAAGAGTCTCACATTAAAATACAAAAGAGAAACCTTTAGGTTTATGATGCCTCGAGTTAGACTAGCTGAGTTGCTGGATCTAAATCATCTAATATTTTAGCGCGGTTTGGTTATTGGTCCATGTGCATTATGACCTAGGCACCTAGCTGTGTGAACCAATTATGAATGCTATCATGGCATGAAAGTAAGTACCACCTGGATCATTAACCTGGTTGTCCATATAAAAAAATCCCAACAAAATGTGACCTTCCAAGGCTTGTTACTGTATTTGAACTTTAATTTTGGCAAGACGTCCAATTGCAAGTGATTAACTAGTTAGATTTAAAATGATCCAATTGTCTACCCGGGGGGCAGTTTAAAAGCTCACATTGAAGTATTAGAGAGATCCATTGACTCGTGTATGTTTATAAGCTCTTCGGTCGATTGAGTTAAAAATGTTAGGCTTTGTTTGTTAACGAGGGTTTTCCTGCAAAGTGTTTTCTGATTTTCCTGAGGAAAATATTTCCAGGAAAATATCTGTCTTTGTATTCTTAAGTTTATCAAGGATAGTGCTCTCTAGTTTTAAAGTATTATGTATTCTTTTTTTGAAATGGTGAAAAATATATTGGGAAAACAGGGGAAATGTAATCTTGAAATGGTTTCATTATTTCTATATTTTTTGGTCAAACATTACATTACACATAAAATAACTTATTTTCCAGGATTTTTTTTCTCACAAAATCATCCTCCAGGAAAACATTTTTATCTGAAAACATTTTACAGAACAAGTTATTCTTGGAAACAAACCAAATTGCATTATGGCCCAGTTGAGTTACCCAACATGTTTATGAATTCTATGGCTATGCAAATAAAGCTCATTTTTTCTTTCTTGCTAGGAATGATTTTGGTGTTCTTGGAGTACAATTTATCATTCAATCTTCTGTGAAGGTATGTGCATAAAATGTATCATTTTTGCATTTTATAAGCTGTGTGTGTATATCTTGCATTTCTAATTGTTGTGCTTGGCAGGACCCTAAGCATGTTGAGTCAAGAGTGGAGCAGTTCTTGAAGATGTTTGAGAGTAAACTTTATGAGATGCCAGATGATGAATTTAAGGTGATTTTTTTAATAAAAGCTTGAAGTGTCCGACTTTGGATCATTTCTTTATCTCAAACTTTGGACCACCTTTTTTTAAAACTAAACATATATGGATATAGACAATAGATATTTCATGCTAATCAACTTTTAGAGATTATTTATTGGAGAATTATGATAGGATTTATTATATATATAACAAAGTACTCCCTACTTCAGTTTCGTCATTTTATATAATCAATCAAGAGTACTAAATACCAATGTTCTAAAAGGCGTTGGATGCTAGTTCGGTGCCAACCCAGCGCCTAGGTGGCTAGGCGGGCGCCTAGGCGGGAACTAGTCGGAAACATAGAAATTATAGTTTTATCAATATTTTTGCGTAAATATGATTAGTAATGTTGCGTTTTGGTGTGTATAAAAATATGTATACACAGTAACATGCATGAATGTTTGAGTTGTCACATTTAATAATATATTGTTAGGAATAGTGTAGGAAAACTACATATGTATTTCTGTTAGGCTTCTGTTATGTTAGCATACAGTTAGTTATGACTACAACTTGTATAAATACTATGTAATATCAGGTTCTCAATAAGATGTTTTCATTTCCATCTTCTACCTTGCTTCTATTCTAATATGGTATCAGAGCTTTGCTCGATCTAACCATACAAACTCTACATCCAATTCTACATCCTCGCAAACATCTTCTCACTCTGCCTCACAAACTTCTCCTGTGATTTTTCATCATTCTCTACCTGTTAGACTTGATTCCAACAATTTCGTGTTATGGCGACATCACGTAGAATCTGTAATACGTGCACACAAACTTATCAGATTCATCGAGAATCCTCAAATACCAGAACGATTCGCAGTTGACGAGAATGGAGCTAAGACGATCAACGAAGCTTACAACGTCTGGGAGCAACAAGATCAGATGCTTTTCTCATGGTTCTTAGCTTCACTTTCCGAATCACTTCATGCTCGTGTCATCAGTTGCAAGCACTCGCACGAGATATGGAGTGAAATTCAGAATTTTTTTCGTTCAAGTATCATCGCAAGGGCTTGTCAACTAAAATCAGAACTCTATAACACTGGAAAAGGGGATCGCTCAATTTCTGACTATTTGCTTTGTATACAAACCATTGTTGACAATCTAATGTCTGTCGGTGAACCTATATCAACCAAGGATCACATTAATGTAATCCCTGAAGGTCTTCCTGAGGATTATGAATCACTTATATCATCTATCACCTCTCGAAGCATTTTAGATCCTGTTACTATCTCTGAACTTGAAGGTCTTTTGTGAGCTAAGGAATTGCGAATGAAGAAACTTCATGAGTCCTCACAACAAACAATATTTGCTGCTAATGTTGCTCGACTTGAATATTCTTCTCAGAACAATGAAACTGAAACTGAAACTCAGGACACTTCAGAAAATGCTTCAGCTCAAGTTGCTCCTTCTAATGCAAATTCCTCCTACAGAGGTAGAGGTCGTGGAGGTTTCAATAGGGCCAGAGGTGGTCGTCTAGGTAGTAGAAGCTCAGTTACTTATCAAGTTTGTGGCAAAAATGGTCACAGTGCACTCGTTTGTTACCACAGATACAATCCAGCTTATACTGTCTCTAATCCTTCACCTATGCAACAACAGACTTCTCATCCTATGCAACAACCTCCATTTTCACATCCTTACTCAAATCAATTCCACCAGCTTCAACATGTTCCTTTTCCCATATCACATCCCTATCGAAATCAATATCAACCATCTCCTCCAGCCACATCAAGATATTCACCCAACCAACCACCTTATCCTTATCCACCATCAACTAATCATCCCTCACAATTCAACTCATCCCCTACTGTACCAACTGCAGCCTGGGCTTGTGCAAACTCTCCTTACTAGGACCACCCCCAAATACTCAGAATTGGTTCCCAGACTCTGGAGCTACACACCATGTCACATCTGATCCTCTCAACCTCCAACACAGTGAGCCAATTGCTACCACTGATAAGCTGTTTATGGGCAATGGTCAAGGTTTGGAAATTAAGTCTATTGGTTTTTCATCCTTTCCCTCACCTTATCAATCATCTCTTTCTTTATCTCTCAATAATATCTTACATGTTTCTGCTATAACCAAAAATCTATTAAGTGTCAGTCAATTTGCCAAGGATAACAATGCATTTTTTGAATTTCATCCTCATGAGTGTTTTGTTAAATCCCAGGTTTCTAAACAGATTCTGTTGTATGGAATACTTGGTGAAGATGGTCTTTACAAGTTTCAATCCTTTCCAGCTTTTGGGTCTCACAACTCTACTTCAAATGTGTCCAAGTTCCCTTCACATAAATCTGTGTTTCCTAGTTCTCTTATATCTACTTGTAATAACTCTCGGTCAAATTCCAATTGTAATATTTGGCATTTGAGACTAGGCCATCCTCATTTTTAGGCCCTTAAGTCTGTACTGAATCTTTATAATCTTCCATATATCAATAAAAATGCTATTGACTTTTGCTCTGCATGTTGTTTGGGTAAAGCTCACAGACTCCCCTCTTACCCATCTAGAACTGTTTTTCATTCTCCTTTTGAACTGATTTATACTGACTTATGGGGGCCAGCTCCTATTCAGTCCTTTGATGGTTACACTTATTATATATCCTTTACTGATGCATTCACCAAGTATACCTGGATCTACTTTCTCAAAAAGAAATCTGATGCTTTCTTAGCATTTCCAAACTTCCATTAATACATCCTAAATCAGTTTAACATCTCTATTAAGTCAATCCAATCTGATTGGGGAGGAGAATTCAGATCATTTACAAAGTTTCTTACTGAAAAAGGTATTAATCATAGAGTTATCTGTCCTCATACACACCATCAAAATGGTGTCGTTGAGAGGAAACATCGCACCATTGTTGAGAAGGGTCTAGGCCTCTTAGCACATTCTTCTTTGCCTTTCAAATTCTGGGACACTGCCTTTGCCACTGCTGTACATCTTATCAACAAACTTCCCTCTAAATCTATTGAAAATCTCAGTCCACATTTCAAACTTTATGGTACTATTCCTGAATATACCTTTCTCAAACTCTTTGGTTGCTCTTGCTATCCTTTCATTAGACCTTACAATAAACATAAAATGGACTACCATTCCAAGGAATGTGTTTTTCTGGGATACTCTTCTCATCACAAAGGCTACAAATGTCTCTCTCCCTATGGCAAAATCTATCTTTCCAGGGATGTTATTTTTGATGAAACAAAATTTCCTTACCCTACTCTTTTTCCATCCACATCCAGTTCATCTCCTAGTGTCCCAGTTTCACTATCAGCTCCAATAACAATTCACCCTCCTTATGCATCCCAACTTCACTCATAATAACAATCCCAATTCTTCTTCCAATCCTTCTTCCATTCCTACATCTTCATCCACTACACCTCAGTTTAACACTGATCACCAAGTTGCTCATCAACTATCCTCCCAATCTGAGTCAACTTCTTCTATTCCATTTAATGTATTCCATTTAATGACACAAGTGTCATCTCTCACACCACATCATCTGATTCCAACTCTCCTCCACCTCCAAGCCCTCCTCATAAGAATCATCCCATGCAAACCAGATCCAAATCTAGGATTGTAAAACCTAGACTTAATCCCACCTTACTGTTAGCCCATATAGAGCCCAAATCAGTGAAGCAAGCTCTCTCTTCTCCACCTTGGCTTGCAGCAATGCAATCTGTATATAATGCCATTATAGCTAACAATACTTGGTCTTTAGTGTCTCTTCCTCCAGGAAAGCAGGTTATTGGTTGCAAATGGGTATTCAGAGTCAAAGAAAATCGTGATGGTTCTGTGAATAAGTTCAAAGCAAGGTTAGTTGCCAAAGGATTTCATCAAAGGTTTGGTGTTGACTTTGGAGAAACTTTTTCTCCAGTAGTAAAACTTGTCACTATCAGAATTCTTCTCAGACTGACTGTCTCTCATCAATGGTCTATACAACAACTTGATGTCAACAATACCTTCCTAAATGGGGACCTTGAGGAAGAGGTATACATGTCTCAACCCCCTGGTTTTCAAGCTAAGGACACTTCCCTTGTTTGCAGACTCCACAAATCGTTATATGGCCTAAAACAAGCTCCAAGAGCTTGGTTTCACAAGCTCACTTCAGTTTTGTACAATGCTGGGTTCAAACAAAGCAAGTGTGATCCTTCTCTTCTTATATACCTAAAGTCTGGCATCCAAATCTACATCCTAATCTATGTTGATGATATTCTGGTCATTGGCAATAACTCTACTGTCATCCAACAAATCATTCAAACCTTACATTCTTCCTTCTCTCTCAATCATCTGGGAGACATAGATTTCTTTTTGGGCATCCAAGTCAGAAAACTACTTGATGGTTGTCTGCATCTTTCACAAATCAAGTACATCAGAGACCTCCACTAAGTTGGAATGTCTGATTCCAAGGGTGTGAAAACACCCATGGTGAGTACCTGTAAGCTCACTAGTGAAGGGAATGATATCTTCATGATCCCTCTCACTACAGATTTGTTGTACTTTAACTAGACCTGAACTTAGTTATGCTGTAAATAAAGTGTCAGTTCATGGCTAACCCCTTACAAGAACATTGAAAAGCTGTGAAACATATTTTGAGATATCTTTCTGGAACCATCACTCATGGACTGCTAATCAAACCTCTTCCCTTGTCAAAAACACCTCTACCTATCATAGCTTTCTGTGATGCTGATTGGGCATCAGACCCTACAGATAGGAAGTCTACATCTGGGTCATGCATTTTTCTAGGCCCTAATATCATTTCCTGGTGGTCTAGAAAACAACTGAGGGTAGCCAGATCTTCAGCAGCAGCTGAATACAAAAGCCTAGCAGATATTACATCAGAAATTTTATGGGTTTAATTTCTGCTCAAAGAACTTCAAGCTCCTTTCATTCCTCCAAGAATCTACTGTGACAACCTTAGTACAGTGCAACTAGCTCACAATTCTGTTCTACACTCTCGCATAAAACACATAGAAATTGATCTTTTCTTTGTACGAGAGAAAGTCCAGCTCAAACAGTTTGAAGTTTTTCACATTCCAGCCTCCCACCAAATTGCAGATGTGTTGACCAAGCCTCTATCTGCTTCTACCTTTCTTGAGTTCAGAAGCAAACTCAATGTGATTGATTTTCCAACTCAATCACCCTCAGTTTGAGGGGGGAATGTTAGGAATAGTGTAGGAAAACTACACGTGTATTTCTGTTAGGCTTCGGTTATGTTAGCATACAGTTAGGTATGACTACAACTTGTATAAGTACTCTGTAATATCAAGTTCTCAATAAGATATTTTCATTTCCATCTTCTACCTTGCTTCTATTCTAATATATATTATTCCTACTCACTTAACTTCATTATGTAATAAATATTAGAGAGAATTCCCTAAGTAGGAGTAAAAATGTTTTGAAATTCCAAAATAGGACTATCATGTTTTTTATTCCTTGAATGAGAGTAAATTTCTGTCAAGTTTGGCATTACTAGGCTTTAAAACATGGCATTTTTTTCCAAACTTGGTAGATTACTCCTATTCATAATAGCTTATCTTTTTATCTTTATTCCTTCTTTTCCTATTCCAAGCGTTCTGGGCGGGCAACATAGTAAATTTCATGTATATATATTCATCTTTTTTTTATATTTTCTTTTCATAATAGCTTATCTTTTTATCTTTATTCCTTCTTTTCCTTTTGGTTGTGATATCATGTATCGATTCATGTTAGCCGACCCCAATATCTTTTGGGACTAAGGCTTGGATGTTGTTGTTGTTGTTGTTGTGGTAGATTACTCCTATTCAGGAAATAAAAAACATGATACTCATATTTTGGAATTTCAAAACGTTTTTGCTCCTATTTAAAGCAATTTCTATAAATATTACTCCCTCCGTCCCATTTTATCTATCTTACTTTTCTTTTCGGTTGTCCCAAAATAAGTGTCACATTTCCCTTTTTGGAAAGAAATATGTGGTTTCACAATATTTCACTTTACTATACTCAAATCTCAACCACAACTTTTACCTTTTCAATCACTTTATTAAAAAGTGTGCCAAAACCAAATGAGAAACATAAAATGGGACGGAGGTAGTATTAAATAATAATAACACTCAAGTGTTTATCGTAATCTACAACTAATAACTTTCTTCATATGCGTTGTTAAAGTTAAGAGTATATATATTTCTAAGAATAATAAAATAAAAAGGAAAATAAAATGTTCGACGAATCTAGACCGACTAGACGCCTAGGCGGCCGATTAAGCGTTCTGGGCGGGCAACTAGGCGCCTTAGGCGGTCGACTAATTCACCTATGCACTAATGTTTTAAAGTTTCCTGAAATGGCGATGGTATGTTTCCCCTTACTGTGTGATCTATTTATTATGGTACAGAGCAATGCCACTGCACTTATTAATATGAAGCTTGAGAAGCACAAGAATTTACGTGAGGAGTCTCGAGTTTACTGGAAGGAAATTTTTGATGGGACTCTAAAATTTGACAGGAGGGATCAAGAGGTATGATGCTCTTATCTGTCTTACTCTGCATTGTATAAAAGAATTGTATTCTATTGTGATTGCATCACTTTCATGAGAATGGATTCTTCTCCACCACTAAAAGGAGGAAACAAGATGACAAAAATCTATCTTTTAGAATTTTCAAGCCTGCAAAGAATCCAAAACTGCTACCTTTGGAATCTGGGATTTGAATCTCTTCTTAAAATCACCAACCCTAGTGTTAAGCTCCTTTCCGGCCGCCCCTGCATTTCCCCCCTGAATTGCCCCACCCCCATGTGTAGAACTGTGACCTGAATCCTAACATTTTGATAATGGCCAAACAGGTTGAAGCTCTCAAGGAAATTACTAAACAAGACCTGATTGAATTCTTCGACAAGCACATAAAAACCGGTGCCCCTCTGAAAAAGGCTCTCAGCATCCGAGTGTATGGAAGCCTGCATTCTGAGTGCTTCAAGGCAGATGAAAATGAGCCAGTTGATGAACAAATTGATGTTCGAGTAGAAGAAGTTTTCAGTTTCAGACGATCTCATGAGCTATACGGTTCATTTAAAGGAGGCCTTGGTTTAATGAAATTGTAGTCCTTACTAGTCCTTATACCAAGATTGAAAATATTGGCAATTTTTTTACAGTAAAGATCTATTCCAATTTTTGTGGACAACAATTGGAAATACTATTTTTAATTGAATTTGTGATAGGTAAACATCAAATTATAGAGTTTAGGGATTATGACAACAATATTATTAAAAACTATGAATCAAAAAGTGACTTTTTAATTTCCAAAAATGAGACTAAAAAGATAGAAAACTATTACTCTTACCCAACTCACTCGCTACACCGATCAATATTACTGTCTTTTTCCGCAATGACTAATGCTACAGTGATCACCGCCCGCCACATGAACACCGCTAGTCACAGTGATCACCTTAAGCAAGTTAAAATTACATCAAGCTAGTTACGGTTGGTTATACAGTGACCTAATTTTCCACATCCACACAACCATGACGTGGTCTTGCTGCCATGCCCTGCCTAACCCTAGCTTCATGCCTCACCCTAGCCCTTGCCTCGCACCAGTGAACCCCAGCCCATAGCCCCCACCACGCCTCGCCCCAATGCTGCTCAATGACAGTGACGAATTGAAACTATGGTCTGTGACTAGGGATGGACTTGGGTCCGGGTCGGACCCGGTCGGGCCGCCGGTTTGTATGACATGGGCTTTGGATCGGCTTGAGGGTTGGATGGGTCCGGTTCGGGCCGGGATCCCCGCCCGGGTCACGGGTCGGGTCGGGCCGGTTAAATAATTTTTTTTATAATTTATATTTTATAGTTTATAGTTTTATACAAGTATTAAGAACAAACTTCAAGTGCATTTATTTGAAATGAAATAGGAACTACATTTGAAAATTAAAACAAACTTCAAGAGAAACATTTTGTAGATTGTAATCAATCGGAACTTCCCGCACCTCCCGATCCTTTGGCTTTGTCACATGACTTCATATGCTTCATTGCCATCCCGTATCCGCCTGAAACTCCCATGCTACATTTTTTCTCGCACCATTTGCATGTTGCGTACCACATCCCGGTGTTCGGGTCCTTCTGCTTATCAAAATTATACCGTATAACGGCATCTTGACTTTCCATCTTAAAAAGTTAAAAATGGTAGATATAATAATCCTACAATAGATGGAGATGAAGTATAAAGTAGATATATAAATAATAAATATAATATATTGGAGGATAAGAGAATTAGAGAGTAGAGAGTTAAGAATAGGATTTAGGAAGAATTGGAGAAGAGATATGAAAAAATGTTTAGGATTTAAGAGTATTTATAGGTTTTTTTACCTCCACCCCTACCACCCCACCACCACCCACCCCCCCGGACCCCCCCTGCACCCCACCCCCCAAGGCCATAACGACTAGTAACTATTTAACAATTTTTTTAAAAAAAATAGGACCGTTGGACCCGGACCCGGGCCCGGGCCGGGTCACATTATTCCGGAACCGTGCCCGCCCCGCCCATTCCTACCGGTTCGGGTCTACACCCGGTCCCGGACCGCCAGACCGGGCCGGTCCCGGGCCCACACAGTAGCGGGCCGGGCCGGGTGGCCCGAACCGAATCCAAGCCTATCTGTGACCCTAGTTGTGTATGCACCAGTCCCATTAGAAACCCTAGTCACACACTGTTGATTCGAACCATTGTTCACCATTGCCTGCCTATTGCGATTTGCGATTAGTCTTTCATCGCTGACTCCCACCCCAATCACCTATGAAGAGAAGAAGTATAATGATGGGGAATTGGGGATAGCGGACGGTTGTGGCATGCAATGTGAAGACTAGGAAACAAGGGTGAGAACTAAAGCAGTGGCTCTTGGTGAGAGCTGAAGCGACGACGGGCAGCAGTGAGAGCGAAAACATTGGCGTTTGGCGAGTGCTGAAGTGGTGACGACGGCTGATGAGTGCTGAAGTGGCGATGACAGCTTTCTGAAGTGACATTAGAAGTGAGTAGGAAAGGCAGAGGTGGTGAGAGATGTGGACATGTGGTGAGTGCAGAAGCTAAGCATAGCTTGGGTATTTCAGACCTTTCATGTACCATCAATCTTTCTTTTGTCTAGATGACAAAGTGGTTTTATTTTTGTATTTTGAATATTCGGGAGTATTATATTTGTCACTATTTCTGAATTTTACTTGTAAAAAATAATTCTTATATTAAATATCAAATTTATTCAGTGACTTCTTAATTACATGCTCTATATTCTATTGATTTTAAGGGAAAATTTAATGAGGTGTTTCGTTATGATTTATGATTTATAAGTGCCCACTTACTTCACGATAAAAAGGTGCCCACTTACTTCTTTTTTTAAGGGAAACTTTAAATAGAAATACTAGTGAATATGGTCCAGTTCTCAATCGGTTTAAATATAAGTGATTTAAACAATGAGCTTAATCTAGTGAATGAATGGTAATTCCTTGGGCGTGTTATTCCAACCAAGGGTGGACACGGTCCAGTTCTCAGTCGGTTTCGGTCCTGCACTGGCCGCGATCTACATTCCTGGTTTTGATTCCCCTCTAATCCCAGTCTCGTCTCGTTTTTATTATACTTTTTTTTATATATTTTAAACCATTCATTGAACATTGTGGTTCAATGACATCATGTGATACTTCCAAGGAGAGTGTCACACGTGTTTGAAAATCATCCCAAACAAGAATGTTGACATTTAAGAGAACAAATACTCTAATAGGACAGAAAGTATAGTAAAAGAAACCTTTAGCCCTCCGCACTCTTTTCCAACTTTTAAGTGTCCACGCCTTTTAAAATGCTTCCAATGATTCAATTAAAAAAAAACTAATGACACGAACTCCCCGGCCGGCCGGATCCGATGCCAAAATTGAGACCCGATACTGGGATCTCTTTCTCGCCAGTCAAAGACCGTGTTGACCCCTAATTGCAAGTGTGCCCAACTTGTCACCATAAAATGCAATCAAACAATTAGGTGGCTGATGTCTCTGGCTTAACAATTGGGTTGTATGAATTTGCACACTAGCCCTATGATGTTCCTTTATAAAATTGAATAACTGAATATGGTTGATTCCCTCCCTAAGTACAAACAAAAATATATATTTTCATTTCGCATAATAAAATATATCTTTCACTTGATCACATTATATATCTCGAAATTATATATATATTTATAAATTTTATTTTAATATCTCAATTTCATATTCTAAGAACTTGCTTGTCATTTCCTAATTTTCAATTGTTCTCTATGATAGAGAAGCGGAGATGCGCAATTAGGGTTTCTAGTCTGCGAAAGTTTTAGGGTCGGCGGTTTCCATCGATCGGCAAATTGAAAGCAGACGAGGGAAGAGGTTGGTCAGGCTTCGGCGTGGGAAGGGTGATCGATTTGCTAGGGCATCTCCAACAAGCGCTGATCTTCTTGAGCAAGAAGGTGACGATGGTCGAAGCGGGAAGGGAATCTCTGGAGGATACGCAGGCGGATGTAGTAGTGGGATTTTTATGCCGGTGAACAGTAGGGCAAACATGGTGAGGAGGCAAGCTATTCAGATGATAGGGATGTGGAGGCTGCTCGTTTTAGGACTGGCTGTGTTTGTGCAGTATTTTGGCCAAGAGATGGAGGTAACTCACGAGCAGATCAAGGTGATGAAGGAAGAAGATGAAATGATGAGGATCGACACCCCTCCTAACCGCCGCCATGGAGGAACTGAGAGACTAGGAATTGGAACACGACGCTTGAAGGATGGATTCAACTGCTCCATCAGGTTATCTTGCTTGATTTCATTTTTCCCATTTTTAGACTGTTAATTTGAACTTCGTTGCTATCGTTTTGCTTTTGGTTATGGTTGTTGGGTGTGTTTCGGAAAAAATGAAGAAATATTAATTAAATAAAATTAAGGAAAAATTGACTAGAATAATCCGTACTATGCTCTGTCCGCTTTTAATAATCCATACTAAGCATTATTTCTGATTAATCCCTACTAAGGGTGCTGTCTTCCGTAATTAGACTGGTCTGACCGTGTACCGACTGAGACGGTCATTTTTTTAAAACGTAAGTTACACCATACGTACACCTTATCCCCATCGTCTTCAATGGTTTAACCTTGCAACCAGTTCAATCGCTCATGTCAGCCGTTTCTTTGCCAGGAAGAAGCTAGAAGTTCAAGTGAAGTCCTGAAGGCCAACTACAGGTAAAGTCTGTCGATTTGTGGAGTCGTTCCTTTTCCGGGAAGAACCTGTTCACTTTCTTTGTTCAAGTGGACTGTTATTTCTTGAACGGAGTACACTGGTAGTTGAATTTTAGGGTTGTCGATTATGGAAAATTCCATAAAAATGTAGTTTTATTGTGTTATTTACATAGCCAAACTGATATGTAGTTGAATTTTAGGGTTGTCGGTTTTGGAAAAAGACATACAAATGTAGTTTTAGGATTTTCTTTACACAGTCAGAGTGTTTTTATTACTAAATGGCTATTTTATTTGATCATATAGATTTGAATGAATTTTATTTTGGTGTTTTACTTTAGGTTGTACGTGAAAGAAAGTAGAATGGCTTTAAATACATGGTTACACTGAAGATGTGGCATGGAGGTACATTTAAGAAGAATAATAGAGGAAAAGTAGAGTACGTTGGTGGTCAGTTTAGATGTTTTGATCTGGATGCTGATGAACTATGCTGGTTTTGGCTTGAGGAGTTAGCCGGGGAGTGTGGCAAATACAGCAGTATAGATGAGATATTCTACTTGGTCCCTGGTAAGAGTTTGGAGACGGGTTTGAGAAGTGTTAAATTTGATGCCGAGGTTAGAGAAATGTATAATGTAGTATTACAATGTTCTACTATAGATTTGTACATTATGCATGGAGTAAGTTCACCTGAAATTGTAGAACTACTTAAAGGGACTGGGGAAAATATAGGGGAGACCAGAGGCAGTGAACCACACGTGGGGGAAGGAGGTATTGGTGCACAAACTAGCCAGGGAAACTGTAGAGAACAAACAAAGAGTTCTGACCCCAGTGATGAAGATGACAATGTTGAATCACAACCCAATGACCAAGATGAAGATGCTGAAATTGAAGGTGAAGAGGAGCTACACGTTCCATTGTTTGGGTCAGATAATGACACAAGTGATGAAGAATTTATGGAGTCTAGAAGAAGAGTTACAGGGTGGAATTCCAAGGTTGTTGATATAGCAAATCAACTTGAAAAGGAAGTTGATTGAAGGTGTGGCACGAGGTAAAAGGGCATTAACTGCAACATCTAATGATGAAGATCGTTCAGACCAGATTGTCTTTGTGAGTGAATATGAAGACTCTGATGAAGATATCCACACACCTGTAGGCAGTGACAATGAGGATAGTCTTCCAAGAAAGAAAAGAGATAATGTAGTAGTGGTGATGCACATACAAATTTTAATAAGTTGGTGTGGCAGGATGGTATGAGGTTTGAAAACAGAGATAAGTTTAAGGATGCAGTTACTAGATTTGCAATTTCTCAAGGGAGGAATCTGAAGATTAATGTATGTAGTAAGGGTAGACAACAAAGAGTTGGTGCTAAATGTGTTGATGGTTGTCCTTTTAAATTGTATGCCAGCTGGGATAGCAGGAGGGCTAGTTTTGTGCTGAAGTCTGTGGAAGGGGAGCATAGTTGTAATAGGAACATGAAAAAAACAGGCAATTGAAGGCTTTGTGGGTGGCAGAGCAATTCCTAGAAGTGTTCAAGTCTAGACCTCATTGGCCAGCAAAAGAAATCATAGAGATCATTAGAAGAGGTTATAAAGTACTGGTTCACAGGGATTATGCCTACAAAGTCAAATATCATGCACATAAGAAGCTCCATGGCAGCATGAAAGATCACTATAATAAGCTAGGAAGGTATTTGGAAGTCTTAAATCAAGTTAACCCCCTCAGCCACTTCAAACTACTCACAGATCCTAAACCTCAATCCTTCCCCCTACCTTCCAACGCTTCTTTGTAAGTTTTAATGGCCTGAAGGATGGATGGTTGAGTGCTGGCAGAAGAGTTTTGTGTGTGGATGGGTGCTTCATCAAAACTTTTTTAGGAGGGATGTTGTTGTCAGCTGTTGGGAGGGACTCAAACGAGCAGATGTTCCCGTTAGCTTGGGCAGTAGTAGAAGGTGAAAACAACTGTAGTTGGGAGTGGTTTTTAGAAGAGCTAAAGAAAAACTTAGGACATTCTGATAGTGCTGACTTGACTTTTATTTCTGATGAACATCAGGTAACCTATTCTGATTTTTTTTTACATTACATTCATTTTACTGAATACTGATGTATTTATTTTTTTCTTTGGCAGTCAATATTGCGTGGAGTGTCCATTGTGTTTCCCATGGCAGAGCATAGACACTGTGCTCGTCATATTTTTGCTAATTGGCACAAGACAAATAAGGGGGATGAAATGAAAATGCTTTTCTGGAAAGCAGTGAAGGCCTACAATGAGGCAGATTTAAATGATGCACTAGCTGAAATGGAAAAGGTAAGTCCAAGTGCTATGATTGCTTTCAAGGCATGTAATCCCAAGGTTTTCTGTAGATCTTATGTTAGGACAAACACTAAGTGTGATGTCATTGTGAGCAACATGGCTGAAACCTTTAATGGGTACATAATCAATGCTAGAGCCAAACATATTATTTTTATGCTAGAAGATATTAGAGGTGCATTGATGCAAAGAGTAGTGGTGAAAAGGCAGGCAATGGAAAAAAGTGTGGCTATGATCTGTCTTAGAATTCAGTTTAGATTAGAGAAAGAAAAACATCAGGCAACCCAATGTACCCCTCTACCATCTAGTGAAGTATCTTTTCAAGTTAACTATTATTTAGATACTTTGACTGTGAACTTGGAAAGTAGGAGTTGTACTTGCAGAAAGTGGGACCTTAGTGGTATTCCATGCTGCCACGCAGTGTCTTGTATGTTCTTTATAAATGCAGCCCCCGAGGATTATGTTCATGAGTGCTATAGCAAAGAGGCATATATGAAAATGTACTCCGGTGGAATTGCCCCTTTGACTGGAGAAAGCCATTGGCCTACAGTGGACTTCCCTTTGGACCCCCACCTATTAAAATTGGGCCTGGCAGACCACGAAAGAATAGGATTAAACCTCCCCATGAGAATCCAAAGAAACCTGGAAAATTAACTAGGCATGGAGTTGAGATGTCATGTAGTATCTGCACAAGTAAGACACACAATAAGAGAAAGTGTCCTGAAAAAGACAAGGTTGTGGAGCCTCAACCTAAGAGGAGTAGGGGAAGACCAAGAAAACAGGTTCACCCAGAAGTTAACTCAACAAATCATCACGCAGCAACAACACAACCATCAAGGCTTGGCAGTGGAGGAAGAGTTATTCATGGCAGAGGGGTGAGCAGGGGTGGAAGAGGAAGAACTTCAGAGGGAAGAGGAAGAGGAAGAGGGCAAGTTCTTGTGGGATATGGTGTAGTTGTTGATAATGAAGGGCATACTTGGATTAATGTAAGAAAAAAGTACTTATACATGCTTTATATTGACATTACATATACATACTTGGAATAACTTGAGTTACTTGTTGACAGAGTCCTGGACAGCATGGAGGGCCAACGAATCTATCACAAACATGAAGTGGCTATTCAAGACTACAATGTTTCTGTTAGACTACAACATGGAGTTACTTGTTTTTCAATGTTTCTGTTAGACTACAATGTGATTAATGGCTATTCAAGTGTTATGTTTAGTTATGTATTTGTAAGGATAATGTATTTCTTATTTTGTATGAATAATATAGGACAAATGTGTTTTCTTATATATTCGATGTGTTTCAATATAATATATTTTGTGGTGTTTAATGTTTCTGTCATGTAATGTGCCATTTGGATGCCAATATGCTCTGCAATGTGTTGTTTTACAATGGTAAATATACTGTGAAAAGAGGTGGTACAATGTGGTCTACTACTTTGTGATAAGAGGTGGTAGAGTGTTTATCCAATCCTTCAGGGATGATCTGCTACTTTGTTTAACTACTAGGAGTGATGAGTGATGAACAACTACTTTTTTTGACTACTACGAGTGATAAGTACTACTTTCTTTTGTTTGACAAGGTCTTGGGAGCTAGTGAATTTTCAGGGAACTTACATGTTCCATAACATAAAGTACAAGCTCATGACAGAAAATTGACTTCAAGTTCTCAACTTTGATTGAAACAAAGGTTTGGATTAACCTCAAATTACAACAGACAACACAAACAACACAATCAGACCCCTACAATTGTACGGAGTAATACTCTAACAACACACAATTTTCACTTCCAATACAACAAAATAGCAAACAAAACCCAAGAGACAAGTAGGCCAACAAATGCATATTTCTCTCCTTTGGCATGCTTCCCTACTAATCTCTGCAGTTCCTGAATTTCATTCCTCATCTTTTGTTTCTTCTTTTTCAACTTTGCGATCTGATCTTGTAAATCCTTTTTCTCCTGATCGAGTTGGCCGAGTAGTGTTTCCTTCTCACTTTTCTTGTCATCATCAGCTACCATAGGTGGAATGTCTTTAACCCATTGAAAAAAAGAGCAATCTGCATTCTAAACAAAAGCCCCAAAACTCATACGAATTTAATTCACAAAATTCCTACATAATTAAACAACCAGTCCAACTTACCGGCCATAAAGCACACCCAGAGAATTTTCTTCCACGATTTGGTCCAAATTTTACTGTCCTGAGTTTCGGACAGACCTTGTGGTGGCATTCAACGGAACAGACCATCTGGGTTTCATCCCTCGTTCCCCAAGACGAAGACATCGATGTTGAACCTGAGCCCATCTGGCATTGACGACGTCCTCTGGAGCACAAACGAACGAGGGCTGTAAAGAGATGCGAATGAGAACGATAAGATATTATAGATAGGGTTATTAATTAAATATACATGTGACCTGCCACGTGAGGTGTGACCGCCTCTAATATTTGCCAGCCGGTCACGGACTGTTAACGGAAGACAACACCCTTAGTAGGGATTAATTAGAAATAACGTTTACTACGGATTATTAAAAGCGGACAGGGCATAGTACGAATTAATAAATAAAATAGCTAAAAGAAAACAGAAAATAAGATGGAGCAGATTTTAGCCAGAGCTCGTGCTACGCACGATGTCCTTAAAACGTATTCGTCGCCTCCCACGGTGCTAGGAGCGTTGCAACGACCGTTTCCCAGGATACGGTGGCTAACGAACGATCGTTTGAGCACACAAAAGAAAGTCCCGGCGAACTGGAACAATAGCAGAACACTAGAGAAATTTCGGAGTAGCTGGAAGTGTTTTTTAGCTCAAGAAAACGTGAGGAATGTATTGTGTTGTCAAACCGTGTGTTTGTTGCAAAGCACCTGCCAGCCTTTTATAGGAGGATTTGTTGTGTGTTAAATGGGGTGTTAATGGACCTGAACGTTGGACATCAATGACCAGTCCGTTGGGCATTGAATCATCTATAAACTGTCCATTTAACGCTGCATTAAAAGACAAGAACGTTGGGCATTTAATGGTTGTAACGGCTTGGAGCAGTTCTGATGCGTGATCAGAATACCCCCATTAGAGTTGGAGCAACCATGATGCTACCAGAATACCTCCACCAGAGTTGGAGCAACTCTGATGCGAAGCCACCAGAGTTGGAGCGTCTCTGGTACGAAGCCATCAGAGTTGGAGCATCTCTGGTACGAAGCCACCAGAGTTGGAGCGTCTCTGGTACAAAGCCACCAGAGTTCGAGCAACTCTGGTCCGCAGGTTTTCGGACGACATTCGTGTCCGCAGGTCGCTCGCGCACACGAGTCACGGTTTTTCTTCTTCGTTTCGGGATTTGATCGGCACCCCCCTGCGCGTAAGAGAGAGCCTTTACCTTTAGGAATCTTAACTCCTTAAAAGAGGCTTCCCTTTATAAGGGGGTGAAAATCCCTTGAGTTTTCCGGTGTGAGATAAAACACACTAGAAACCCATCATTTTCCCAGTTTTTCCATTTCAACGAGTGAACTTCGAGAATCAATTTCTCATTCACCCGTTATCCGTTTTGAGTGTACCACATATCGAATTGTAGCCCTTAACAAGGACAATCCGAAACCACTTTGACCCGACCCAAATCGGAAGTGGACCCCACTCAAATAATTGCCACCAAAAGACCATTTAATGCAATTTTTAACACATTTTTCCAACAATGGTTCATGGTACTCCGTTTATTACGTTGACCAAGGTTTCAGCTAGAATTGATATAGTTAGATGGGATAAATCTATTTGTTCACCAATAGCTGCATAAAACTCGTGAGGTGGGGGGGAGGGGGTGGGCAGATACGATAGATTCTAATTTAGGTTAGCTTGCCAGCTTAGATAGTTTCTTTTGATTTTTTTTTGATGCATTGTACTATGCTATTTTCTGGATATATATATTTACATTTTATCCAAAAAAAAACCCGTCTGGTGGTTAGCAATTTGTATTACTTCTTCAGGGTGATCGTCTATATGTCTAATCGTAGGACTAATAGTAGTAGTTGGAAGGTGCATGTTGTAGTCAATTTTGGTCATTTTGAGATTGATGTAACGACCCTAATTCTAATAATATCAATATAGACGATTTCCTTTAAAAAAATTCTCTATGATGATGAACAAGTGCAAATTCTTCGCCCGCATTGTCCTTTAGATTTGTGCACTACTTTTTTGACAAAATATAACTCAATTCATTTAAAAATGAGAACCACATAAGTAAAAGTAACTAGAAAATTTTGAGATAAAGGACATAAATTTAAATAATGAGTTACAATTTTTCAGTTCACTGAGAAGGAAAATAAAATTTGATCAATCCCGTAGAAGGAAAATACGATTTGACCAACCCCGTCCATCTCCTGAATCATAGAGATCCCAATAAGTGGCCTAGGCGATGCTTGGTGTTGACTTGTGCACTAGTTATTTTTTTTGTATCAATATCTATAAGTTAATAAAATGATAAAAAATTATTTCGTATTAACAATATGATTGTGATTACTTCTTTATGAAGAAATGCCTTAAACATTACTAACGTCGCCGTTAGAAGTCAATGAGGCGATTTTTTACAAGGATGTTTTTACTGGTCCGGTAACTGTCTAGTCTGATCTGATCTGATCTGGTCTGGTATGATAAATTTTATGGTCTGATCAAGTATGATCTGATTTGGTCTGGCCTGATCTGGTTTGAACTGGTCTGATAAATGTCTAGTCTCTGTGTATTTTATAACTATCCAAATGTAGTCTGATCTGGTCTGATCTGATCTGATTTGATTTGATCTAGTCTGAGACTGAAAACAGTCCAAGTAAAAACATCCCGAATGCAGACAATCCATTTCTGCTTTTAAGAGTCAATTTGTTTGGATCAAACACCAAATCTCTATTTATGATTATAACTCAATTGAAACCTCTCATTAAACTGCCTAATCTTTTTAGCGTCTTCCGGAAAGAGGCATGTTCTTTTTTAACTTCGAAGCCCAAAAGTTCAGATTTTAGAATATCTATGAAACATCATACTAGGACTATAGGTTACAATATATGGTTCCCTCTTAATGGTGAAATTTGGCCTTCTATTCTAAGTGAATGAATATATCTACCTATTGAGAGAAAATTCATTGAATAATTTCCAAGAAAATGTGTGTAAACTCTCTTCAATTTCTAAATATTTCCTTTTATTCTAGTTATATTATACACCTTTCCTCCTAAAAACTTCTTCACGGTCTAACTTTACACATTTATAATTCTTAGCCACATAAACCTTTATATAAAATGAAATGAGAAGAATTTTTTGACATATGCTAAAATGATAATTATAATTTGTTTTGAAACATAGAGAGTGGTAACACATACTCCGTAATTGTATGTGTACCCTATTTTGGAGTACCCATTTGTACCACACACTTTGTGTGGTTCAAATAAGGTCACCATTTAAATGAGTTGACCCACTTAAATGAATTACCTCATTTGAGTCGCACAATAGAGGTATGAATGGACTACCCCAAAATGGGTTACCTATACTATTTTTCAATATCTTTTCCCAATTTTATCTCCTGCTAGTTTTTGTCATTTATTCAACATTCAAATACATTATTTAGGGGTGTAATCTACGGAGCATTTCTTATTCTTTTTTTTGTATTTGTAAATAAATAAAGACTAATAAGATTATGCCTTTGTTTCTTTGCGTCGACTCCCCTAAAGAAGCTGAGATGACTTCTTCCAACGTACTTGACTACTTTCCCATTATTGGTCTCTTCACAGCCAGTGCGTACATTCTTTCTTCAATCCCTAAATAACGGTACCTACTGCTTCCTCTTAGAAATTTTTTAAAAATGGCGGTGGGGACAATGGCTGAGCCGATTGAGATAGTGAAAGCTCGCTGTGACAAGAGGGAGTACAGAAGAGTCGTTCTTGATAACTCTCTTCAAGCTCTTCTCATTAGCGATCCTGAAACTGATAAGGTTAATAATCTCAACCTGCGATTTCTTCTAAATTACAGATTCTTATCTGCAACAAATTGAGCTCTGGGAGTGTAATTATAATGTACTTCTGAAAGCTCCCATCTTTATACATTCTGGAAAATTATTCTGTTTAATTAGTAGGAGTATGAAGTGTTTGAGTAATTATTTTTTCTTCTTTGAGCTCAATCAGTGTGCTGCTTCAATGGATGTCTCTGTAGGCTCTTTTAGTGATCCCAAGGGTCTTGAAGGCCTTGCCCATTTTCTTGGTGAGTATCCCTTCAACTTCCTAGTTGACTAAGAAACTTCCTGTTATCAGTACGTGTGGTTCTTTGACGATCAATATATCAATTGCATATAAGTTTTTCTGAAGAATGAAGAAAATGGCAAATCTTTCTCAGGGAGAAAAGTTCACACATATCCAACCACAGAGCCGATTTAAATAAATATTCGATAAATAATTGGAGTACCTAATATCTAAATACGGAGTATATTTCATTCATGTTCTTTTGATTGATTATATCATTTAAAATAAAAATCTGTTAGGTGTTAAAAACCAACAATTTTTTAAAATTTTGGGTAGACCCAAACAAAACAAGAAATACCAAAATATTAAATATTTTCACCCAAATCATGTCTGAATGACTATCCAGTTCAGATATCAAACATCACAGAACTTTTAGAGGTTTGAATTAATATTGGGATATGAACCAAACTGATACGATGCCCACTCCTTTTGTCTTTCACATTCTAAATAATGAAAGTGGACATACACATGCTTGCAGAACATATGCTTTTTTTTGCCAGTGAGAAGTATCCCTTGGAAAATAGCTACTCAAACTACATCTCAGAGGTATTTGCATTCACCTTTTGATAACGATTGATTATTCTTTTTAGTAGTTGACTAGTAAAAGTTGTTTCATTTTATGTTCGTTGTTTTTAGGGCATATATGCTGATTATGCTCTCTATAACTAATCGTTCTCTTTTTTCTTTCTTAACTAATATTCCGTTTCTAATTTTCTTTTCTTGCTTGCATCAGGTCTTTTACTTATTCTTTAGATATAAACTCCTGCTCTCTCTCCATATATATATATATATATATATATAGGGTTGAGTTCTAATGAGAATACATCTTAACGTGAGGGAGAAGCTTCACATTTGTCTCTTTCTGATGCACTTTTGCACTAATCTGGTGCACTTTTTGCGATGGCAGAAAAGTTCCGATTAATTAAAAAAGTGATGCAAGATGCGGTGGCATTTCTGTAATTAATCAGAACTTTTCTGTCATCGCAAAAAGTGCACCAGATTAGCGCAAAAGTGCATCAGAAAGAGGCAAATGTGAAGCTTCTCACTCCTCACGTTAAGATGTCTTCTCATTTGATCTTTATTCTTTATTCTATATACATCCAGTGAAAATGCTAAACATGTGAAACGAAGAATATTCACTTTTATTTCTCTATTTTGAACATAGATAATCAAACATTGGACTTTTTTCGCGGTGCTAAAGAAAGTTCACATGACTAACAAATTACCAGTGCGTTTTTCGTCTGCTATATCATTGCTGACACATTTAGTGCCATCACATCTAATGCACATCTTAAATTAAGGCTATCTTCTCATTTGATCACTTACAAACACGTACACACATGTTGTTATCAACTTATAAAGTAGAGTCGATCCACTAAAGTCTTGAGGATCATTATATATATAAGAAAAACGTGAGTGAATAACATTTTCTATATACCTATAAGGCTGTTCCGGCATTCTACATTCATGTGATTGATCTAGGATGACTTGAAAACCCCATAAAATATGGGAATTTTATAAGTCCAAGGCCTAGAAGATAGATGATTTATCAATCCGGGACTTGAAAGATGAAATGTGTTAGTATATGACCCGAATGATTAAAACCTTTCCACCTAAGACCTTAAATTCCATAGGTTTTAAATTATTTACTCCCTCTGTCCCATAGAAAGGTTCTCACTTTCCTTTTCTGGACGTCCCATATAAAAGTTCTCACTTATATTTTAAAAAACAACTAACAATCTTAAATGACAATTTAATCATTAAATATTAAAAAATACATTTATAACATCACAATTATCAACACTAACCCCATTATATTATATACCTATTAAAATTAATTCTCAAAATATACTCTAATTACTTTATTTAATTATTGTCTAAATAACCGTGTCGTTTTGACATGGGAACCTTTCACAGGACGAAGGTAGTAATTTTTTATTAATTCCATTGTTAATTTTTGATGAATTTTCTTCACAAAAGTTTATTAGCTTAATCATCATCATCATCATCATTACATCAGTGCCGCAAAGGCTCCCACCTACAGTGGGGTAAGGGGGGTCGGATTTACGCAGCCTTATCTCTGTACTAAAGCACAAAGAGACTGTTTCCGGATGACCCATAGTGAAAACCGTGTCGAAAATTACATGAATTGATTGCTACTTCATAACAAAGAAACGTAGACATTTTAGTGAGCCATTTTGCTTTATGCCATCATATTCCAAGTTAGCCCTATGACAAATTACCAGAGTCCAATCCATTCATCTATGCTAATCACTAGCCATAGATTGAATGGAAAAAACTATTTGGAATGGTCTCAATCTGTCAAGCTCGCAATTGATGGGAGGGGAAAATTGGGCTACCTCACGGGAGAAATCAAACCAAAACTTCCTAGTGAGGAAGGCTACAGTACATGGAGGTCAGAAAATTCACTTGTAACAGCCTGACTTCTCAGCTCCATGGAAGCCTCAATTGCAAAACCTCATATGTTTATGAAGACAGCAAAAGAGGTCTGGGATTCCATAAAAGAAACTTTACTCAGACTTTGAAAATTCTTCTCAAATTTTTGAATTAAAAACCGTTCTCTGGCAGTCCAAACAAGGAGATAGAGATGTCACCACTCACCACCTGGTCCACCTACTTCAATGAAATGGTGTCTCTATGGCAGGAGTTGGATCAATACTATGATGATGAATGGGAATGTGCAAAAGATCTGGCCAAGCACAAAAAAAGGGAAGAAAATGACAGGGTTTATATGTTCCTAGCAGGAGTTACTCAAAGCTTTGATGAACTGAAGGGAAGGATTCTGGAAAAGAAACCTTTGCCTTCAATCAGAGGTATTCTCTGAAATCAGGATTGAAGAAAGCAGGAAAAGGATTATGAATAACACTCCAGGATCTCAGAATGATACTGGAGAGTCCTCAGCATTGGTGGTCAAGGGAGATGAAAGAAAGAAACCATGGTGTGATCACTGCAAGAAACTGTGGCATATAAGGGAAACTTGCTGGAAGATCCATGGAAAACCACCAGGAGCAGGAAAGAAGAAATTTGAGAAAGCTTTACATACTACTATGCCTGAAACTGAACAGGAGCAACAAATCAACTTCAATCAGCCCACTTTCACAAAGGAACAGATAGAGCAACTCCTACAGTTTCTAAATACCCAAAAGATTCTTAACCAGGAAACCCCTTCTTGTTCTTTTTCCCAAAATGGTAAAATTACATCATATTTTTGTTCTGAAAAATAAAAAAACACCTGGATCATTGACTCAGGTGCAACATACCACATGACCTCTATTCCAAAATTTTACTCCTCATATAATCCGTGTGCACGAGATAAAAAAGTTAAAGTTGCAGATGGCTCTTTTTCAGCCATTGCAGGGATGGGAAATGTTAAAATTTCCTCATCCATTAACCTCTCTAAAGTCCTTCATGTTTCAAACCTTTCTTGTAATCTTGCCTCTGTTAGCAAATTAACCAAAGAGCTTCAGTGTTGTGTCAAATTTTATCCTTCTTATTACATTTTTCAGGAGCTGGCATCGAGGAAGATGATTGGCAGTGCTAGAGAGGAAGATGGACTCTATGTCTTTGATGAAGGAACTAAATTGAATAAACAAGGTCAAGGAAATACTTGTCTGCAAACTATTTCTTTTTCTTGTAATAATGAAGTGTATTTAATGCACTATAGACTAGGTCATCCTAGTTTTTACTATTTAAAAAGGTTGTTTCCTCAGTTGTTTCATAATAAAGACCCTTCATCATTTCATTGTGATATGTGTGCACTGGCAAAACATCATAAGAATTCTTATATCCCTCATAGTTACAAACCTACTAACCCTTTTACTCTTGTGCATAGTGATATTTGGGGTGCATCTAGAGTTTCTACCTTGGTAAAGGACAAAGATGGTTTGTAACTATTATAGATGATCATACCCGGGTAACATGAGTTTTTTTGATTAAAGAGAAATATGAAGTTGAAAATGTTTTCAGAAAATTTTACTCAATGGTTCAAACTCAATTCAATACCAATATCAAAATGGTAAGAAGTGATAATGGCCGTGAGTATTTTTCTCAAAACTTAAACAATTTTTTTGCTGAAAAGGGGATTATTCACCAAAGTTCTTGTATAAATACTCCTGCTCAAAATGGAATAGCTGAGAGGAAAAATAGACATTTACTTGAAGTCACTCGTGCATTCATGTTTTCCACCAAAGTTCCAGAATATTTATGGGGAGATGCTGTTTTACATGCCACCTATTTGATTAATAGGATGCCATAAAAAATTCTAGGATTTAAAACTCCTATTGATACAGTAAATTATCAGCTCTCTTCCGTTAAAGATTTTTTGTTGCACAGTGTTTATTCACAACCTGACAAAACAACAAGTAAATTTGATCCTAAAGGAAGAAAATGTGCCTTTTTAGGACTGTCTTCAACACAGAAAGGATATAAATGTTTTGATCCTACAACAAAAAAGATGTTTGTAACAATGGACACCGTTAAACTCATATAACAAGTGGCTGTCCATCATCTCCTTCCTTTGCTCATCATCAGGGTTGGAGTCAAAATACAGAACAACATTGCCATTACAAACTAAAACAATGGACACTGTTTTTGTTGAAAATCAACCCTTTTTTAATACTCATCTTCAGGGGGAGAATTCAAGTGAAGATGGTAACAGTGTATTACATATGAATGAAAATCTTGAATTTCTTGACATTAATCTTGATGCACATCATACTAAAAACTTAGATGCATCAGATAATAGCCAAGGAATAGAAAAAAATGAAATAAATATAACTGAAACAAGGAAAGAAGATGAGCAGCAGATAGTTAAATTTTTGGCAAAGTTTATGAAAGGAGAGTTCCAAATCAAAGAATAGAGGATATCTCTGATCCTGCAACTGCTCATGAATCTGACTCAATGACAGAAAATGAGAAAGGTAATACTTCCAGTGATCTTGACTTACCAATTGCTCTCAGAAAAGAGAAAAGGTCATGTGTTAGATATCCTATTTCAAACTATGTGTCTTATTCCCGGTTGTCTTTGTCATTTGCGGCCTTTACCTCTAGTCTTTCCTCTATTACTATTCCCTTAACCATACAGGAAGCTCTATTTAAACCTGAGTGGAAGAAAGCTATTTTGGAAGAGATGAATGCTCTTGAAAGGAATCAGACATGGCAGATTGTAGAGTTACCCAAGAATAAACCAACTGTGGGATGGAGATGGATTTTTACTCCTAAATTCAAGGCAGATGGAACCCTTGAACGATACAAGGCAAGATTGGTGGCCAAGGGATATACACAAACCCTTACTGGTGTGTGATATGTTCCGTTACTTGGGATCCATAATTCAGAAGGATGGTGAATTAGATGGAGATGTATGTCATAGAATCAGAGCTGGGTGGATGAAATGGAAAAGTGCTTCAGGATTTCTATGCGATCGAGGTATGCCGACTAAACTGAAAGGTAAATTTTATCGTACAACAATTAGGCCGACATTAATGTATGGTGTAGAGTGTTGGGCGGTGAAGCAATGCCACATTCAAAAGATGAGTGTGACAGAGATGCGTATGTTGCGTTGGATGTGTGGACATACCAGAAAAAACCGCCTGAGGAATGAGGTAATCAGACAAAAGGTGGGAGTAGCACCTATAGAAGATAAGATGCAGGAGTCTCGTTTGCGGTGGTTTGGGCATGTGCATAGAAGACCGAGTGATGCACCTGTTAGACGACTTGAGGGGTGGGGAGAAGAGTCAGAGAAGAGAGGGGGGGGAAGACCCAAACAGACTTGGATTAGAGTAATCAGAACTGATATGTGTCTTCTTGGGTTGGATGAGAGTATGGTTTTGGAGAGAGCAAAGTGGAGGGCGCACATTCATGTGGACGATTGATGTCTTGTCTACCTTTCCTCTCTTGTTTCTTTTATCGTTTCTCTTCCTTATATTTTTTATATTCTTATGTTATTTTTATCTTCTAGCTTTTTTATGCTCTTTTATTTATTTTTCTTTTATCTTGGTTATATTCTTGTGTTATTGTTATCTTATATTATGTATCTTTATTTTATTCATTTTATCTTACTTTTTTTCCTTTTCTTGTCCGCCTTCTCTTTTTGGCATTGATATCATAGATCGATTAATGTTAGCCGACCCCAAATTCTTTTGGGATTAAGGCTTGGTTGTTGTTGGTTGTTGTTGTATGGCATAGACTATACTGAGACGTTTGCTCCAGTAGCAAAGTTAAATACTATAAGAGTTCTCTTATCTTTAGCTGCTAACCTAGATTGGCCACTTCAACAGTTAGATGTGAAGAATGCCTTCTTAAATGGGAAGCTTGAAGAGGAAGTGTATATGAGTCCACCTCCTGGGTTTGAGAGTAAATTTGGCTCAAAGGTGTGTAAACTTGAGAAATCGTTGTATGGACTTAAACAGTCCCCAAGGGCTTGGTTTGGCAGATTTACTCAGTTTATAAAGAGACAGGGATTCAAGCAAGCTCAGACTGATCATACACTTTTTGTGAAATTTTCAAGTAAGGGGGAGATTGCAATATTAATTGTTTATGTGGATGATATTATTCTTACAGGAGATTATCACAAAGAGACCGAAAGTCTAAAGAAGCAACTGGCTCATGAATTTGAGGTCAAAGATCTGGAAGAATTGAAGTATTATCTTGGAATGGAGATAGCTAGATCAAAGAAGGGAATTGTTGTATCACAGAGGAAGTATATTCTAGATCTTCTCCACGAAACAGGCATGAGTGCATGTAGACCAGCAGATACTCCAATTGACCCCAATCAGAAGTTGGGAGATGTCAAAGATGGAGTTCCGGTCAATACCCAGCAATATCAAAGATTAGTGGGAAGATTGATATATTTGGCACATACAAGGCCAGATATTGCATTTGCAGTTAGTTTGGTTAGCCAGTTTATGCATAATCTAGTCCAGGAACACCTTGATGCTACTTACAGGATTCTAAGGTATCGGAAAAGTTGTCCAGGGAAAGGATTATTCTTTAAAAAGAACAACAGTAGAACTGTTGAGGCATTTACAGATGCGGACTATGTTGGCTCAATCACTGATAGAAGATCTACTTCTTGGTATTGTACCTATGTATGGTGACTTGGAGAAGTAAAAAACAGAATGTAGTTGCTAAAGCAGTGCTGAATCTGAATACAGGTCTATGGCAAATGGAATTTGTGAATTGCTTTGGATCAAAAGAGTAATTTCAGAATTAAAATTGAAGATGGATCTACCTATGAAGTTGTATTGTGATAACAAGGCAACTATTAGTATTGCTCATAATCCTGTGCTACATGATCGTACTAAACACATTGAAGTGGACAGACACTTTATCAAAGAAAAGATTGAAGCTGGAATTGTGTGCATACCACTCATACCTACTAAAGAACAAACAACTGATATCTTCACAAAAGGATTGTTCAGACCAGTGTTTGAGCTACTTATAAGCAAGTTGGGGATGTATGATATATACTCACCAACTTGAGGGGGAGTGTAGAAAATGTTACATTTATTATTTATTATTAGATTGTGTACGTATGTAGTTGTGTAAATAAAATAGAGTTGTTAGATTGCATTTATTAGCAGATAAGTACTGTAGTTAGATAGATCCTATTTTTTAGGATCTGCACATGGAGTTTGTTGTGTGTACTCTGTATATATATTTTGGCCGTATGACTCATCATAATCAAGGAAGTTTTATTCCTAACACTTACAATTACCTTTGGCAAATATGAGCACAAAGGCAAAGAATCCCTTGATGTCGCCCCCATTGCTGTGGACCACTGCTGTCATTGACGATGGAACCGCGTTCTAGTCACTATAAATGCTGTCACCGGAGCCACATTCTCCATTTGAGCGTCTGCTGCCACGAGGCAACCCATAGTCATTGCTGGAGCAGAGGATGGGAAGGCGACGCAACTTGAGGGTGAGCAGTGTGGCTGGGTGGATGGAAAATGACGGATGGGAAGATGGGCAGCGAGCGGGATGCCTGGCTGAGATGGAGGAGAAGATGGGAGGCGACGTGGCGTGGCCGAGACGATGGAGGAGAAGATGGCAACAACTGGAGAAAAGGTTGGGCGATGGGTGTGGGCTGAGAGGATGGGTAACGATGGAGGGAGGAAGTTAGAGAAATTTAGGGCCTGTTTACTAACAGAGATATTTTCCAGTTTTCTATTTCTGTTTTCTGTTCCAATTCTCTGTTTTCATTTTCGAGTTTTTCTATCTTCAATTTTTTGTTTTCATTTTTTAGTTTTCCATTTTGAAATCTGAAAACATTTCATTTTCATTTTTTCATTTCATTTTCATTTACCCCAGTGCCGCAAAGGCTCTCACCTACGGTGGGGTAAGGGGGGGTCGGATGTACGCAGTCACCCGATTCTGTGACCGACCAGAAGACCGAAAGTACGGTCTCATTCCGAAATCAAACCTAGTACAACGGTACAACACAAGTGGGATACCAGGTCCCACATATAGGAAAGTCGGGACCGAAATGGGCCAGCCCCGATCGATCTCAATGGTTAGTTTGAAGAATTCTTTTCTCATTTCCCTATTGGTGGACAACTCAACAGATCTTTTAAAATTCTTCACTTTAAAAATGATTTCAAAAAACCGAGATTAAACCATTTGGTCATTGACTGGCCCAGACAGGGACCGCTGGGTTGTTGACCGGACAAGACGGGGACCGCCGGATCGTTGATCGAACCTGGCAGGTACCACCGGGTCATGGATCGGACCGGACAAAGGCCGTCAGGCCATCAATCGGACCGGGCATGGACCGTCGGGTCGTTGATTAGACCAGACAGGGACCACCGGGTCATGGATCGGACCGTACATGGATTGTCAGGTTGTGGACCGGGCTGGGCAGAGGCCGCATGGTCGTGGGCCGGATTGGACAGAGACCGCAGTCCGTCGGGTCGTGGACCGGACCGGATAGGATCGTCGGGTCATCAATCGGACCAGATCGAGACTGCCGGGTCGTCGACCGAATCGGTTCAGGATCGTCGGGTCATTGACCGGACCGGGAATATTAGGCTGTCAACCGGACAGGGACCACCGGGTCAATGACATCAAAGCAAAACCGAATCCACCACTACGCGTAAGTATGCGAATTCATTGCAGTGGCACTGTAGCATCCGCATTTTCCAAATTTGGAAAACTAGTAAAAGTCACTTCTCCAATTCTTTAAGGAAAAGAGAGACATATCTCATTTTTTTGTTTTGAAAAATGATTTGGTAAACGCAATTTTCTGTTTTCCTTTCTCCAGTTTTCCAGCATTTTTCTTTGGTAAACACGTTTTCTGTTTTCCGTGTTCCAGTTTTCCAAAAAACTGGAAAACTGAAAAATATATTTGTTAGTAAACATGCCCTTAGGGTTGATTTATGTATTTATATGAAGAATATTTGTGACCTTTCATTCTTTTTTGGATAAACTGTAAATATATATATCCAAGAATGTTTATGTACATCAAATGTACGTGATAAAAAAAACCCATGGGAAATCCCAAGTAAGGATGCTCTATCACCTCAAAAAACATCTAGCTACATATAGATGCTAGCCATCACAAAAATAGGTGATGAAACAGAAAAACCAGAATGTTATCCTATGAAGCGGATACATAGAGTACAACACTTTATATACCATATATTTGATCCGTGTGACCAAATCCATAACCGTAGGCTTTGCGGGTGACCTTTCATTCTTAACATAGTTTATCGTCGCCCTAAATAGAAGTTTTTAATCTTTTTGTCCATTGAAACTCTAGTAGCATTGTTTCCATCATTTTTCTAATTGTATTTGGGAGATTTTAAAATGCTTGTTTTAGCAATCAAGGAAAACAGGGGTCAATACATACATACTTCCACATGATGTTTGCCTCGTTTGTTAAATATATAGCTTGCAAAGTGTTGTTCTCTTTGCTCCCTTTAATGTGTCTGTTCATACCTTGTGTTGTAGCATGGAGGGTCGACAAATGCTTTTACATCTTCTGAACACACTAACTTTTACTTTGATGTTAACAATGACGGTTTTGAAGAAGCTTTAGATAGGTAATATGATTTTTAAGGGTATTCCCTCTTTTCACTATTTCTTTCTTTTTATTTTTTGGGCAAAGTTTCCTTATTACTTTAGGTGTTTGATTATCTAGATTTGCTCAGTTTTTCATCAACCCATTGATGTCGGCTGATGCTATAACAAGGGAGATAAAAGCTGTTGATTCGGGTTAGCATATTATCATTTTCTATGCATAGCAATCTAGTTACGTTTGATGTGTGCTGATTTTTTCATGTCTCTTTTTTTCCTTGTGGAAACAAACCTGTTTATACAGAAAATCAAAACAATTTACTATCCGATGGTCACAGAATCTATCAGGTATTTTAATTGGGCTTGCATCATGGTTCAAGATTTCTAATATCTCATTGTAATTGTTTCTGTTAAGTGAAAGATACTCCACTGATTTTCAGCTTTAAAAAGTACATAGTTATGTCTACTTGCTTGAGGATTGATGCTTTGTTGCTATATACAACCACTATCCCTAATTTATCTCTTGGTTTGACTTTTGCATGTTTTTAATAAAGTGAAAACTGTGGTTGAAATATAATTAGTGGAAAGGGAAACAATATGAGAACTCTTTTCCCTAAAAAGGAAAGAGAAGATAATTTAGGAAATATATATATTAAACAGAAAGCTATATCACCACATATGCTACTTTTGTGCAGCTTGAAAAACACCTGAGCTCAAGTGATCATCCATACCACAAGTTTGGGACAGGTCTGTTTTAACACGAGGCCTAAGCTAAACATTGTATCACATAGTTTTTCTAATAAGCCACCAGAATTTGCCACACCTTTACTCATCTTATAAGGTTGTTTTTGGAACTCAGAATATGGTAGAGAAAGAAAAAAGGCCAAGGGGGATGTTTTGTTAACGGTCTCTTTGTGCTTTAGTACAGTGGTAAGACTGCGTACATCCGACCTCCCCTACCCCACCGTAGGTGGTGATAAGCACAGTCACAAAAGGAAAACTAAAACAGTAAACTGATACACCGATCTGATCAAATGGTAACGATAGAAGTGTGTATTGATAATAGAGGGTAAACCGTAGGCAACAAGGCAACCAGTCTGTTCGAGAAGACCACTCTCCAAGGCAACACTCAATATCAAAATAACAGCCTACCTTCTTCTGATATCCCCCCTTCTATTTATAGTATTATCCATGCAGGGATTAATAAGGCTACTAGCCCACTAGTTACTTATTATTAGATCCCTTATTCCTCCCATTCCCCTTCTATTTATACTACTAAATGTACCCTTATTATTATTATTATTATTATTATTATTATTATTATTATTATTATTATTATTTCTTAGTATTAGCCTACTAAGCCATATTCCCATCAATACTCCCCCCCTAAACAACCACCTTGTCCTCAAGGTGGGTGATAGGAATCAGCCATGATCTTCCACTTCATCTTCATCTTCCTCTTCAGTCTTACGCCTCTACCTTCCCAGTACATCACCTGAACCTTCATCTTCATGTTCCTCACCTGATTATTTTCACACCCTCCAAGTAATTCCTGCATCTCATTGCAGTCATTGTCTTTGAGGATCACTCCTGCTGCGCCACAAGAATTTATCACTTCTTCCAGTAACAATGCCCCAGAATCTTGCCAACTTTGAATATTATCCTCCTCACCAGCAAGGAATGGATTAGCATCTATCAACCATGTGTGAATCTGCTGCTCAGTTATTTGCAGAAAAGCAATGACACAATATGCCAACTCTTCCAAATTATGCACAAATACCTTTACAAACCTCTTGCTATCCAAAATGGTTGATCTGTGCTCAAATAGACTTTCTGAAAGCATTTTTGGTTTGCAGCTACGAAAAGGAACACCTGAGTACAAAAAATTCCTTGATGAATAATCAGCCAGAACCCCAGGAAATACCAAACTCTGAGTTAAATCATTGTAAGATCTTCCAGCATGTTTGTTAAGAATCATCAAGTGCTGAGAGTTAGTATTCTCTTTTCTCTGCCAACTTCCCTTATAGATTTCAACCACTTCCAATGCAACACGTTGATCAACCAACGAAATAGTTTTTGTCTTGTCTCTGTACCTTTTTGGAGGCATTGATTTATCTCTGTTTGTAATAATCAAGCTGCCAATATCCTTTGCATCATTTTGGGTTACAAAATTGAAAAACCTTGGAGCAGTAGAGTCGTTGAGAACGATCTCCATTGCTGTGTTTCTCAACTGAATGCTAGTCCACTGGACAGCCTTTACCATGTATGTAATCCATCTACTATGTTGCTGGATATTGCTGGGATCCTTTTGAGGTATATTTCTACACACAGTGCTTATACTATCACAAACTTTTCCCTTTTTAGCATCAAAAGTGGGACTGCCAGGCCAGTTAAGAAGGTTCTGTTTCTGGACGTAGTCATCATCAGATAAATATGTAGATGGTGCCTCTTCAGTGCTTCCTTCGAATGGGATGCGAGAGGATGAACCCAGAACAGCTTCCAATCTAGAGCAGACTCTTCCTGATCGGATAGCAACCACAACCATAACACTCACACTATTTCTATCAGCTGATATATTGGCTCTGTGGATCAGTTCTATATAATCACTACCTAATGCATCCAAATCATTTCTATGGCGAAAACCATTCCACCTGTTAGTTTCAAACAACTCAGCATTAAGCCAAGCATTTTTATGCTCATATTCCACAGCAGGAATAGAGGGAGGAATTCCCTTCCAATCAATGTACAACCATTCAGAACTATGGTCTGATGCGCGTGTAAACTGTTTTGCCAACATTCCATTACAGAAGGATTCCTGAAACCTCCTTGCTTCCCTGTCCTGATCTGGCCCCAACCTTATTAGCCCCAGTGAGGAGATAGAAGCGTTAACAATTTTTCCAAGCAGGCAGTGTTCCACTTCTATATTTCCAACCAGCTTTCCCATACTAGTAGGTGCCGCTGAATATTCACTCTCTATAGAGATTTCAGGAACCACCTTATTCTCCACTTTATAATTATCATCAACAGATTCATTTTTCATGGCCGTTGAGGGTTGAGTCACCACAGAAGATTTCTCCTCTCTTCCTGCATCACCATAGATGAAAGTATCTTCAGAGTGAGTTTGCTGCCAGCTAACCATCTCCAGACCGAGCGATAGAACTTGTGGACTGTGAGAAGTGTAGGTTTGAAGAATTAATCTTCCTTGTATATTATTGAGCCATCCGGCAATGATATATATACAAGTTTACAGATAAACTAAAGTTGTTACAGATCCTAAATATTAGGATCTATCTATTCTTATCTACACTGCGAGCTAATCTAAGAATTAGAGACCTAAATCAACTCTAATTCCTATCTATACAGTTCCGGATGTACACATAATAAAATAACATGTATATGCTACATTTTTCTACACTCCCCCTCAAGTTGGTAAGTATATATCATACATTCCCAACTTGCTTATAAGAAATTCAAACACTGGTTGAAACAGCCCCTTTGTAAAGATATCAGCTGTTTGTTCTTTAGTAGATATGAATGGTGTGCACACAATTCCAGCTTCAATCTTCTCTTTGATAAAATGCCTGTCCACCTCAATGTGTTTAGTACGATCATGTAGCACAGGATTGTGAGCAATATTAATGGCTGCTTTATTGTCACAATATAACTTCATAGGTAGGTCCATTTCCATATTCAACTCTGTCATCATTCTCTTGATCCAAAGTAGTTCACAGATTCCATTAGCCATAGATCTAAATTCAGATTCTGCACTACTTCTGGCAACAACATTCTGCTTCTTACTCCTCCAAGCAAGGTTCGAAATTGCGTATTGCGTAGTCGTGACGTTTTTTTGAATATTGCATATTGCGTAAGCCTCATTGCGCAACGAGGCGTATGCCTGAGGCGTAATATATATATATATATATATATATATATATATATATATATATATATATATATATAAACATAATAAAAAATAAACATATTTGTCAAAAGTCGTCAAATGTTATATTAAAACAAATCATAAGAGGCCATAGTCCTAGCAAAGTAATATGTTCAAACTTCAAAGTACCATAGAATACCAAAACTTTCTGAATCGTTTATAAAAACAAAATCTAAGATATGAGAATTTAAATTAATTAGATTGATCGACTGAAAAAATCCAATCAATAACTAGTGGTTTGAAATAGGGGTCATAACATCAATTATAAAAATTTAAAAGTGGGCCGGGTGGACCCAAATAATACCCTTACACCCTGACCTTCTCCTATTGCGTACGCCTCAGAGCGCCTTATTGCGTATGCAATATTGCATACGCCTCAGAGCAATATTGCGTACGCCACACTCCCAACGCCATATGCAATGCCTTTTACGCCATAGTTTAGGAATTAGCTGAGGCGCGCCATGAGGCGCAATTGCATTGCGCAATTACAAACAATGCCTCCATGTCACCAGATTCCCCCATACATAAGTACAATACCCAGATGTAGACCTTCTATCAGTTATTGAACCAGCATAATCTGCATCTGTAAAGGCTTCTACACTTCTATTGTCACTTCTTTTAAAAAATAATCCTTTCCCTGGACAGTTTTTCAAATATCTTAGGATCCTGTAGGTAGCATCTAGATGTTCCTGGAATGGATTATGCATGAACTGACTAACCATACTGACTGCAAAGGCAATATCTGGCCTTGTATGTGCCAGATAAATCAACCTTCCCACCAATCTTTGATATTGGTGAATATTAACTGGTATTCCTTCCTTGACATTTCCTAACTTTTGATTAGGGTCAATTGGAGTATCTATTGGTCTGCAGGCACTCATACCTGTTTCATGAAGTAGGTCTAGTACATACTTCCTCTGGGATACCACAATTCCCTTCTTTGATCTGGCTATCTCCATGCCAAGAAAATACTTCAATTCTCCCAGGTCTTTGATTTCAAATTCGTGAGCAAGCTTCTTCTTCAGGTCTTCAATCTCTTCACCTACTGTAAATATATATCATCCACATAAACAATTAGTACTGCAATTTCTCCCTTAATGGAGAATTTCATGAATAGTGTATGGTCTGCTTGGGCTTGCTTGAATCCCTGCTTCTTTATGAATTGAGTAAACCTTTCAAACCAAGCCCTTGGGGACTGTTTAAGTCCATATAAGGCTTTCTCCAGCTTGCACACCTTTGAGCCATATTGTTCCTCAAACCCAGGAGGGGGGCTCATGTATACTTCCTCTTTCAAGCTTCCCATTTAGGAAAGCATTCTTCACATCTAAATGTTGAAGAGGCCAGTCTAGGTTAGTAGCTAGAGATAGTACGATCCTTATAGTATTTAATTTTGCAACTGGAGCAAAAGTTTCTGTATAATCTATGCCATAGGTTTGTGTGTATCCTTTGGCAACCAATCTGGCCTTATATCTTTCAAGTGTACCATCTGCCTTGGTTTGTTTTTGGGTACCTCTACAGTCTGCCATGTCTGATTCTTTTCAAGGGCATTCATTTCTTCTAAAACAACCTTCTTCCACTCAGGTATAGATAGGGCTTCCTGTATGGTTAAGGGAATAGAAACAGTGGAAAGGCTAGAGGTAAAGGCTGCAAATGATGTAGATAACTGAGAATAGGACAGATAGTTTGAGATAGGGTATTTAACACATGACCTTTTTTCTTTTCTGAGAGCAATGGGTAGATTTAGATCACTGAAATTATTACCTTTGTCATTTTCTGGCATTGAGTCAGATTCATGGACAGTGGCAGG